ACAAGGCACGATCGATGTGACAAACTAGCATTCACAGTTGCGAGTAACACTATGCTATGCAAGAACACCGCACTGCGCAGCCAGCACACGCCAATGACGCCGGGCCCGCCGGGCGCGCGCTTCGAAGCCCCCGCGAAACTTTGTCCCGACACGGTCAGAAATCACCTCCCGCGTAAACTATATTTCACTGCAAATATCTCCAGTCGCGCTACAGTTTCCTTTCAAATAAATACAGTTTCTAGTAAAGAAACATAAAATACACAAGAAATCCATGCATATAAAGATGAATAAAGTTGACATCAATTAGAAATTCTACGCTAAAATCTTGGACAGAAGATTTACCAAAGACAACTCGATCGTCTGCCAACTAAACACCTACCATTTTGATGTGCGGAGATTCTATTTTCAGACGAGTGACACTAAACAACCATTACTGAAATGTGATAGTGATAAACGGCTGTTTTATGTATGGTGTTCAGGGCCATTTTTTCGTTACGCGTTTCCATAGGCATTTTGCGCTGGAAAATGAACAGCGCCCTCGCGCGGTTGCGCGGTCGCCTACCACAGAACCACATTCAATATCTAATGGCTTTGCCAGGCAGCGTGATTTTCCGCGTTGGGCCTGCCGCAGGCATGGCAGGGCAACGAAATTGACTGCCGGGCCGGCCTCCGAGGGCGCGAGCAGCGGTCGGTCGTTAAATGTTTAATTTCCCATTGTGGACATGGGTTGGCATGTATTTCCGACACTGAAATCTAAATATGTTTTTGAATAACCCTAGGCCTACCTATATATATATTTTTTGGAGCAACTATAGAATGCAGGGCCACGCCGGAGCAAGGTTTTTTTATTCTGCTTGGAGGCGTGGATGGAGGCCAGGGCTCCGGGTGCACGCATGCATCAGTGCATGTACAGATTTTTGCTTGTGCACGTAGCTTTTTTACTGAGCATGCACGACGTGCATGTAACTTTTTTAGCCACCAAAATACTCATTTCATGCTTTAGGCCTACCAGTGAGTGAAAATAAGAATAAAGTTTGTTGAATACTTGACCAGACAGATAGTGTACAAACGTGTTATATCTTTTTTTATAAATCCATAAATTATTCCTCGCACCTAGCTGGAGTTACCCAGCCCTGAGTTTTATCATTGGGTTGTCATCTAGGGCTGGAGCGAGTTTTTCTCGTAACTTGTAGTATAGGCAAAAAATTTTGGAAAATGTTCAATTTTGTCCCCGTTACACACTAATTGCAACTGCAACTCACCCCAAACTTGCCTGGAATAACCATTACACAGGTCCTTGAAGTAAAAAACGATCCACAATGAAGATTCAGCCTACAATTGCAGTGAAAACAGGAGGAATAACCGCTAACTTGACAACCTTGCTGGATTGGCCAGGACCGCTATTGGTTTGTGCACAAAAAAAATTGTGTACAATGAATGGCGGTCGATTAACAGGCACAGAGAGCGATCGCTGTCAACTACTCGTTTTGCCGGCTGCGCTGGCTGTTGGCGCCTGACGTCACGCGGAAGCGTATTACCCGATGACTGTTTCATGCACTATTGGTTGCGGTTCCAGTACCAAAGCTGTGATGCGAGTGGTTAACCTTATACTAGTGCATGAAACAGTCATCGGGTGTTACGCTTCCGCGTGACGTCAGGCGCCAACAGCCAGCGCAGCCGGCAAAAACGAGTAGTTGACAGCGATCGCTCTCTGTGCCTGTTAATCGACTGCCATTCATTGTACACAATTTTTTTTGTGCACAAACCAATAGCGGTCCTGGCCAATCCAGCAAGGTTGTCAAGTTAGCGGTTATTCCTCCTGTTTTCACTGCAATTGTAGGCTGAATCTTCATCGTGGATCGTTTTTTACTTCAAGGACCTGTGTAATGGTTATTCCAGGCAAGTTTGGGGTGAGTTGCAGTTGCAATTAGTGTGTAACGGGGACAAAATTGAACATTTTCCAATTTTTTTTTGCAAATACTACAAGTTTTGAGAAAAATGCGCTCCAGCCCTAGATGACAACCCAATGATAAAACTCAGGGCTGGGTAACTCCAGCTACCTCGCACCATGCTCACAGAGTCGCAGCAGATTCAAAGTACGAGGTAAAATCTTGACGTACATGCAACCTCCTCCGATCATGCATGTGATTTACCACGTGATACATGCTGCGGATCATAATATGTCCGGATCATAAGTGCGATTCCAAATTATTATTATCGCGTGGTCTCGTTATTGGCCAATCTGACGCAGGCCTATCATATGCGCTACATGAAGCAGGCGGGTAGCTCGGAGGGCTCCGATAATTTTGCACGCAAATGACCCTGGTCACTTGTCAGGTTAAAATCTAATTTCTACACGTTCGTATGGGTCTTCATCGACGGCAAATTTCGTCGAAATGACACATCCTGAACACGCGGGAAGGCAAATTTAGATTTCTAGGCGAGTACTGAACATATGTACGAAATTATGTATGGCGGATCGATTTCGCCGCTTTGTATACAACACCACGTTCACAGGTCTAGGCTTGAGCATGATAGAGTAAAAAAGGCTATGTAGGCCTACTGTACTGTCTGTCGAAAGTTCGATAAATTTCAAAGAGAAAGAATGCCTTCAGAGAAGCAGACGGGTGTAAGTCAATTATGGTGCATGTGGGTTTTTCTTGGTGCATGTAGGTTTTTTGGTCTACATGCACCAGTGCATGCCACTTTTTTTTTGTAAATCGAGCCCTGATGGAGGCCGGCGATGTGAGGATAGGAGTAATAGGCTACAATATAATAATGATAGTGGATATTTTGCCGGAGGTAATGACGGCAAACTAACGATTACTAAAGGTTTGCCAGCGGCAATCCATATCAACAGAGGGCGCTGTACTCTTTAAAATAGGACTGAATTATAAGATGTATTAAATTCCCACCAAAAGTTGTGTAGCACATTTGGTGTAGTGGTTAAGCAAAGGCTCTAGTAAGCGGGATGACTCGCGTTCGATTCCAACCGCATCGCATTTTTAAGGTTTTTTTTTCTCATCCCCAAATAAATAAGAATATTCTTCTTTTATTATTTTAACATGTCTCAAACATTTTTTGCAGAGTATTACATTTTCTTTTTCAGATTTGTGGCTCTGGAGGATTTTTTTTAAAAGGGAAATAAAGTCCGAAATTATAAAATGGTCTGAATCCCATCTTGTGAATACGAGGTAACAACGATAATTTTGGCATGGAGCCAGACTAAAACTTGTCACCGGAAAATGTTAAAGTACAAAAAAACAATACTGCGCATGTTCAGTGCACATCCGGCAAACTAACGTTTACTAAAGGTTTGCCGTCTCCGGCAAAATATACACTGCCTATAATAATATGCAAACCTGCAAAAAGTGCAGCAAATGCACTTGTCTTCTCATCAATGATTGGAAGGGAGGGCGCTTGTACATGTGTCGGGGCACGGAGTCGCGGAGTCGCAGAGACGCGCGCCACCGATAGAGGGCGCAATTCTCGGCGGTATTTTTTTGAGAACGAAGCATCCATATCCATTTTTAATTTCCTCGCAAAGGAAGGGAGGAGGGCGACAGGGCACTGGAGCCGCGGAGGGCGGAGACGCGGGGCACTGGAGGCGCGGAGTTGCAGAGATGCGCGCCGATAGAGGGCGCAATTCTCGGAGGTAGGTCGACTGCGGCTCCACGCCTCCACGCAGCCGTACGGAGGCGCGGATGTAGAGTGGAGTGGCCCTGCATTCTATAGTTGTACCTATTTTTTCACCGAGGGCCTACTCAAGTTCAGTACTCGGTATGCGGGTTCACTTACATGTACCGTTAGTGACCTTGGGGTTTGTGTAGTTGAGGACACCTCCGTACGCATGGTACTCATGCGAAGACGATTAGGCCTATGGGTTTATGCACATTGAGATGAACTTTTTTGTCATGTTTGTGTGTACTTCACCAAAAACGTGCACAAATCAGTGTGCACGTTAGCCCAAGTGGACTCCCTTTCCTCCCTACGTTACGGAGGGAGTCCAGGGTATGAAGTGCTCAAAACCGGGCGAAAATTATTTTTTGACCAATAAGGCAATATTTTCAATATTTTTACCTTGTTCAGGCCTTCATTTTTAAGGAGCGCGATCGCGCTCCTTCGCGCTCCTTTACACGGTTTCTGGCGCGCGAATAATAGCGCTCCTGGGTAAATTTGTAAGCTTATTAATTGTCGACTCCAGTATTTGTCTACATAAAAGCCAACAGTAAAATCTTGTCAATCCAAATTTTATATACTTGATTTCTTAACTTTCATCCCGATGTTTGAACGATTTTGTTGTGGCAAAAAAATCAACAAAAGTAAGTCGTGGGCGATGATGACTGAATGTCATCTTTTGGCCAGATGGATGAAGATTTTGGGATAAAAGAACATTTTTTCGAAAAGGTATGAGTTCCTCTATGACTAGGAACCTTAATTTTGGAAATTTCTGTCCTGGATGAAAAGATAATCTCGATCAAAATCGGTAGCAAAATCGCTACATCAGAGTTCAGCGTGTAGGGGAGCATTGGCGGTCTGGCCGTACTATAGAGCTTGCGATAGTACTGTACGGCCAGATGCAGTCGGGCTAGCTAGCGCCCAGTGACAGTGACGTCACTCCAGCCAACCGAAGTCACGAAAATGCTCAAACGCTTAGTGTTTTTGAAATAAAAATACAATTGCTTTACAATTGTTCGCCCATTCATCAGGCCACGAGACCGTGCGCCAGCCGATATCAGCGCACATTCAGTCCTCTACATTTGTACCTTCACAGGTAGTCGTTCATACTCCTGTGTGGAGAGTGGCAATTGCAGTTAAGTGTCTTGCTCAAGGGCACAAACACCATGTTTATGGCAGGGTTCGAACGGACGCACCATACATGAATCAAACACTGCAACCACTGGACCATGGCATTCTTATCTCTGTTGAAATTAAACCAGTAATTCTACAAACAAAAGATTACTTAGGCAAGTTTCTTTATTTGTATTTATTTGTCTCAGGAGAGGATGTGGTGGATGTGCTGACGGATCTGATGGCTCCAGTAGATGATGAATTTGCTGAAGAAATGGATACATCACCTGCTGAAAAGAAGCCCGGTAACTTTGGCTTCAAGCCACTTTTTCATATGCATATTTTCAGTCGGTTTTGTGTCCGTTGCATATTTAAATCTCTTCTGAACTGTAGGTGTAACTGGCAAGTCACACAAATGACTGAAAATGTAAAAGGCAGGGATATTTGTAAGTTAAAAAAACTTTAAAGAACCAAACATGAGAAGAAAAGGACACCTCACAAAATTACGTTGTACATTTTTTATATCAAGTATTTTATTTACTTTTCCCCATCTTTCTGATTTGAACATCTTATTTTGCACTGTTTTGATGGAATTGAGTTTGATGGATTTTGAAGTTTGATGGATTTGGTCCAAGCCACTATTACTGTGCATGCATGTATGCCTTCATGTCCCAAACTAAGAATGGGGCGTACTGTACAGTATTGGATTTTGACCGTCTTTTTACGTGTGCATTTTTAGGGAGTTATGTTTTGGGTTGTTGAACCAGTAAAAAGAACCCTTCATTTTTTCAATGTTAACACAAATGCAGTGGTTTAAAGGATGGACATTCAATTAAGGATATAAATGTTGCGATAACTACCGGCATGAGAATAGGAGTTAGACTAGTTATCAATGAATGTGTCCTACGTTTAAAAGAAAGAAAGAAAGAAATCGTCATTTTGATTTCAATCAGCAGCCAAAGGACAGACTCCGCCCTCCGCTAAACGGACCACGCCCAAGTCCAGCAGAACAAGCAGTGCTAAAACTACCAAGACCAAAACAACAAAGACATCAGCAACCAAGACAACGGCAAGCAAGGCCACACCCAAACCGTCCACCTCTAAATCCACCTCGCAGACATCAGGAGATGCCAATTCTGGGGGTGACACGGAATCCCCCACGGTGGGGACCAAGACAACCCCAACTGCCCCCAAGACCAAGAAAGTTGTCAAGAAGGTGGCATCATCGGGAGAGGCCTCCTCAGTGACCAAGAGCAGCAATGCCAAGGCGACTACCAAGAAAACACCCCAGAAGAGAAGCGGAAGTGGTAAACCGTCAACAAAGAAGACTGCCACGCCCGCTAAGGCAAAGGAAGAGGATGAAGCTGGTAAAGGGGAGGAAGCTGCCCCATCAGTCCAACATGAGGATGTGAGAGAGGACAAACAGGATGATCAAGACCCTGTGACCTCTCCTCCTCCACCCAAGAAGGCTAGACTGAAGACTTCAAGAAAATCAGGCACACCCACCAAGAAGAAAGTTACTTCAGCTCCTGAAGAGGTATAAGAGCCGTTAGTCCCCTCTCTGCCCAGATCAGTCAAACTTAAGCAGGGGTATCAATAGGGATTTTGCAGAATTGAGGAGGGTAGAGCCGATGGAGGTTTTCGGGAGGATGCAGCAAGGTCCCCAGCAAAAGTGCCTGGGGCACTTAACCCTAACCTCCCCAAGTCCATCAAAATCCATCCCCCCATTTTGGTAGATTTGGGGGGACTTGGTCTTGCAGGCCTTGTTTGACTAAATATTGATGGAGTATGATGGACTTGGGCCAGGAGGCCTATAGCAAAGAATGCATTGGAAGCAGTGTGATGGGTGGATTTTGGCAGACTTGGTCCAGTACTTAGTAAAAGACAGTAGGGAATTTGGATTAATGTAACAATACATCTTATCATGTAATGCATGTTATGATTGTATTTTATGCGACGTCTTGCAACAAGCATGATACCAGTTCACTTTGTTGTGCAGCTGTGGTTTATGAGCTTAGTGTCTGCATCTAATGAAGTTGGGGTGATCGGCATTCAGGAATGTCAGATTTCTGAATAAGAAAACAGATGTTGTTAATATCAGAATCTCAAAACAGCAATCATTTCTTGTTTTTATATTTTCTTTTCTTTATAGAAGGCGGAGCCTGACCATGCTGATACAGAGGATGCAGTCCACAGTATGTCCGTTTTTAATTTCCTGATGCATTTCTTCATATATTATTTGATTGATTTTAAATCTCTTATGAAAATGAATGCTTCCTTTCAGCAGGTGCAAAAGCACTTGCCAAAATTTGGCAGGCAGGGTTAGGATTAACGTGTTTCCTAAAATGAGCCACGAAGCATCAGTGAAAGAATATTTCTTTGTTGGCACCAATTCATGCAGCTGAAAAAAATATGATGTTACAGCCGGCCTGGATTTGTGTGAAAATGTAATGGGGCACAATTGCAGAATACCCCGCCACTCACCTATCCCACCTCGTATCCGGATACGCGGATACGGAGTCACGCTTGGATGCCCAACCAAAACCACACGCGTGTGCCACCCCGTATCCCTGTATCCGCGTATCCACTTCCCGGCACCTACTTTGGACTTAGACGTTTTTCCCCTGCTCCCCTTTCAACTCAGGTTGTCTCTGCCTTCGTTATTTTCCAACATGGAAATGGATGCTTCGTTCTCAAAAATATTTTCCTCCGCTAAAAAATAAAGTCCACCCCGTATCCCCGTATCCGCGTATCCACTTCCCAGCACCTACTTTGGACTTAGATTTATTTAACCCCTGCTCCCCATTCAATTCAATGCTGGCCGCATTTCTTAATACAGAGAAATAGCGCCCTCTTTAGACCCTCCAGCGCTCAAATCCACCCCGTATATTGTATCTGCATATCCACTTCCCGACATCTACATGTACTTTGGACATTTCTGCAACATTTTCCGACTGCGTAGCCATTTATTTTTAGGGGGTAATTTTCGCTGGCTGGGTATTCTGCAATTACTCCTGTAATGGCATGTGCAACAAAATATTAGCCTATCCAAACTGTAATCAAACAGAGATCAATTAATTGATCGGAAACGATGGTAAAGTTGTTGCCCTAAAATTCTAAATTGTTTACGAACAGAATCATTACTTCGGAATTCAAATCCATTCCAATAGGTAGGAGTTTCCCGAAGGTAGGAGCATCCCCGAGCCTATTGCAATGTTCACCTTGTACTTGATATTTGTACATTTATCTTTGTTTTCAGAGGAGGAAAATGTCAAGCAAACGGAAGACGGCAATGAGGAACCGGAACCCAGCATCCCGGGTCTGGGTTTTGAGGAAGCTGTCAAACCGGAAGACGCCAAGGAACCAGAGGAGACTAAGACAGATCCCGTGACAGCGCAGGACCTGGAGGGCTTTGATACGCGCAGTGAGGCCAGCAGCAGTGATGAAAGTGATTCCAGCTTGTCGGATGTCAGCGCTGAGCATTCTGGTAAAGACTGGACTTTCTGTTCCTTTTGATTTTTCTTCTTTCCTCATCAGGCAGCCGTTCATTGAGCTGGTGCCAGTGTTTCAAGGAGATTGTGTAAGATTTCTGATTTAAAATCTTGATCTTTTTTTCCTCGTCCACATTCTTTAGGAGAGGACAAGCCCAGGAAGCATAGGAGGCATAAGCGTTCCATCTCCCCTATTGTATATGAAAGATCTGGCAAGAAAGGCAGTGGTCAAGAATCAGGTAGAGGCACAAACACATGGCCATCACTTAGACATTTTGAAGTCATATTTTCCCTAAAAGATTGTTTACTTGGCTCATTTTTAAAGGTCTGGGTCAGGAAATCAACATAACGTATAACATTTAAGGAGGAAACACAGAAGAAAAAGAACATTTGTTTACCTCTGACATGGCAGCGGGTTTTGGCCTTTTCAAATATTGAATTTTGAATACTTCAAATAGTTAATTTTCTGCCAAATTATCCACTAAAAACTGGCGCTACATAAAACTAATGTGGCATTTCACTGTGAGATATCAAATCCCATGCAAACATGTGTTTGAAGCAAAATTTGAAAAGAAGCATGTGACTGGAATGACATAAGCCTTCCATTGGATCAATTTTGGATGGACCAGAATTTTGATTTGTGAAGATTCCTGAATGTTCTAAGGTTCTACTTAATGATTGAAAGTAAATAAAAGTAACAATCCAATTTAATACAGGGAAAAATATGTTTTGAGCTTGTTTGTGATTCCTTCCTTACGACCTGTTAGACACAAAATTATGTTAACAAAAAGACAGGAAGACATGGAGATATTCTAATTGTAAAGTACTTTTTCTCTCCAGGAAATGAGAAACAGGTTCCAGTGGAGTCAACAAGCAAAGTTCGTAAAGGTATTACATGTACTTTATCATTTGCTGCTTTAATATGTGTTTTGGTAGACAAACATAACATGGTTTGTGGGTGGACAGTTGATACTAACTCCCTGAGGTATTGAAAGTTGACAAACTAGTTCCCAAGGCGAAGCCAAGGGAACTAGTTTGTCAACTAGTTTGATGAGGAGACCCCTCAACTACGTTGACACTGTATGCAATGATGTGAGCCAGCACGTTGATGACATCACTACGGCCATGGCGGACAAGAGAGTCTGAAAGAGTTTGGTTTCATCCATCTCTGCTGTGGTTTCCCAATGATAATGATGATTGTCAACTTCCAATACCAAGAGGAGCTAATATCAACTATACACCCAAAACAAACCATGTTATATTTGTTTTACTGTACTTCATAGATATACACCAAAATTTCAGGGAGTTACGCATAAATAATATCTCGGTAAAACATTGTATGTTTGCCGCTATCTTTTCCACTACCCCGTGCGACTACCCCGCGCGATAGTTCAATAAATGCTAGGGTATACGTAGACGACTACTGCATGGGTAACCCAGGGGATAGTCTGCTTCACATGTGTGTTACTCAGTGCTTCAGTCCTCGCATGCAAGCTTGGTGAATAGCAAAGTAGCTGCTGACACGTGATGGTGAATGTACCAGTTAGAAATAGGCTCTCACTCATGAATATGTATGAGGTATAGTACAAGCAACTAGTGTTGGTTATGCCCTTTCAGGCATTTGAAGAGTTTTCAGCAGAAATGTGGGTTTTTATGCGGAAAAGTGTGACATGTTTTTTCTTCTATGGTAAAGTAACAGCCAAGACATCATCACCATCCCCTCTGAGTTCCTCAATTTCATTTTCAAACTAAACAACAATTCTTCGCTTTCTAAGACCAAGCCATTGACTGTTTGCGTTCCCCGTCTTTGCTGTTTTCCCAGCAGACCCAACCTCCAAGCTCAAGTACCTGTTCAGAGACGCTCGCTACTTCCTGATCAAGAGTAACAACCACGAGAATGTGGCCTTGGCCAAGGCACGGGTGGGTACTAGCAAGCCAGTAACTTCTTCCAGTTCGGTTGATTCCCTATTGGATCTGTGCGTGAACCAAAGAGGGCGGTCTTTAACCAAATAGTGAGACTTAATGAAAGGCCCTTAGATTTTCACGGTTTACAGCTACTGATCTCCATGGTTGGAAAAACTGGCCATTGTGTGTGTGTACACACAATTGAAGCTACGCACTGGTTCCGAATCTCTCAATAGACCATTATCATGTTGCGGCCATGTGGATTTTTCCCATTCAAATCAACGTAAACCAAAGCGAGGTTGGAAGGAAAAACAGTCTGGTTCCTTTTTTCACAAAAAAACATTATCAGTTTGTATTGTTATTGGATACAGGGAAAATGACTAAAATGGTGACAGCATGATAAGGGTCTGTTGGAATATGCTCCGGGAACCAGTATAGCCACTCGCATCGTACATTTACAAAAATGTAACAAATAAACCCTAGATAAGGGTTACCATTATGATTCACTGCACATAAACCAAGACCAGCCCAAAACAGTTCTATCAAAGTACCCGGAAGTTTTCAATGTGTAGGTGAAAGTGCAACACAGTAAAACTATTTGTTCTTGTGTTTTAACAGGGAGTGTGGTCGACCCTGCCCAACAATGAGCAGATGCTGAATCAGGCATTCCGTGAATCACGCAATGTCCTGCTGGTTTTCTCCGTCAAGGAAAGTGGAAAATTCCAAGGTAAGTTCAGGTAACATTTTTAAAAGGGGAATTATGTGAGTCTGAGGCAGCACTACCAGAGCAAGTGGATGTTTTGTGTGTCAGTTTCCAGTGTGTCATTGTAACTCTGCTCATACCGTTACATTTCTCAATCAGGTTTTGCCCGCATGAGGTCCGAGTCCAGACGCGATGGCCCCAATATCAACTGGGTCCTGCCCAATGGAATGAGTCGTTCGGTGCTCGGCGGTGTCTTCAAAATCGACTGGATTACAAGGTAAAGTCCATGATCTCAGAGTCTTCAGAACCATCCTAAATCGTTTGCCACAATTATATTACTTCTAACAACAGTAATACGGAGTACACTAGCTTTTGGGGAGATTCTGGATATCTGCTCTATGTAGGAACACAAGATGACACTAACCAATTTAGTGAGCTATGGTGTGGGGGACTCATTGCATTAAATGTAGGGCAGAGAAGGTACATGAACATATGACTGATTTTTATCCGAACGTGCTCAAACCATAGCCTCTAGCTGAGTGCTGGCTGCACACATTCAAATGTCTGTCATGTCTACTCTATTGTCATTGTAAAGTTATTCACAAGTTCATCAAAAGTCATCCAATAAGCCATTCAAAGTGACTGTGGCATAGGCATTTTCTTTCTTGATTATTCAGCCCCTGTTACTTGTGACTGGACTTGTGAGTAAATTGTGACATGACTTGTGATGGGAGTAGAGTTTAACTGCTCATTGTTATCATTATTGCACATGACTTTGATTATTGGTGTTCACCTAATGATGCTTTTCTTGGAGTCTGTTGTCAAATTATGAATCTTAAATCCTTTTTTTCTTCATTTCCTCCACCAAGGCAAGAGCTTGCTTTCAGCAAGACTGGGCATCTCTTCAACAGTTGGAATGACAACAAGCCAGTCAAGATAGGCCGTGATGGACAGGTGGGTCCTACTTTCCTTCTATTTAAACCATTACTCCATGTACTGCCCAAAGTACCCTGCATGTTTACTCCCTGTACCACCCAAACCTGCCCCAGCACAGTGTGGTTTTATCGTTTTAGGGAATGCATACAATGTAATACACTGTAGTACAATGTAATACAAGTGCCAATGAGTAAAGGACAGGTTCTAATGGTTGAAGGACCCATGCAACTTTTTGTGCCTTGCATTTGAACAGGCACTGAATATTGATCTCTGTATAGCAGCTCATTATAAATGTCAAACAGTAGCTTGTATTCAGTGTATATGGTTGACTCGAAAGATAGCTGGCAGTCGCAGAAATATGCGTAGATTATTTCTAAAATAGAAACTTCCTGGGATGTGATTAAGTGCTCAAGTACCTCTAATGTTTTGTAAAATGAAATAGATTGTGAGACCTTGTCCTATTGATTCTTCGTAAAATCCTTGATTCTTTAAGTGAGAAAACTGGAAGGCAAATAGAGTATTAAAAAGACGGTCCCACTTTTATGGACAGATTTGATGGTGTTGATGTTCCACCCGTACTCTGAAAATTTCAAACTGAAGTAGATTGTTTGTTAATGGTTTCAATTCATTCTGCTTTTCAGGAGGTCGAGACACGTTGTGGTGAGGCTCTGTGTCGACTCTTCCCGCAAGACGAACACATTGACGTGGTGGAGATCCTACGGGACGCTCGACGCCGACGCCGCGAGATGGCTACCCGCCGGAACCGCGAACCACTGAGGTTAGGACTCCAGCCTTATGGCCTTAATAACACGGACTCCAACTCTCATGGACACTACCGCTCCCAAGGGGTCATGTGGCCCCTGAAGATGGACTTCAGCCTCTCAATCGAGTTGATATGGACTTGTGCAGTAGAACGGAGGGGTCACATGGCCCCGAACATGGGCAAAATAAACTGTGTTTGTTTGTGTCCCTTTGCAACAGAACTCTGTAAGGTATTGAAAAAGGCCGGCATGGTAGCCGGTTTACGGTAAGGTCGGACATGAAAATGTTAGCCTGTTTAACAAACTGAGTATTCTCCTGAGGGAGACTTGTCTAGGAGAGGACAATGTGTGTGATTCCATTAGGTGCATCGAGATTGCAAAGACCGTCCTCCACAGCATCATCTGTTCAGGAAAGCAGTATGGTGCTTGTGTCACGCTTCACAGATCCCAGAGGATTGCTCGACAGTTGAGCGCTTCAACTGACATCAGCAAGGTCACCTCCATGGAAGATCCTTGGCAACGCTTTAGGCCATATCTGAGTCTGGCTGTCAGACCACTACTGAGCATGTCAGACTATGTTGTTACGCACATGCTACAGCCTTTTTCCGAGAGTTGATGACCAACTACGTGCAGCGTGACAATTCATTTGGACTCGTTGCAAATTTTTGCTGTTGAACAATTCAGACTTGCTTTCAAGTCTGCCATGTGCTGTTTAGTGTGTTTATGTTTTTACAATGTTTTGAATATGTGTGTTGCCCATTTTGATGGCACACATGTGTAGACTACATCCTTGTATTGTATGGAGTGTCTCCAAATTCCATAAAAGCCTTCCAAGATTCCATTTGGCATCTTTCTTTATTAGGAGTGATTCACAGCACAGTTTGCCACCAAGCGTTCGCCTCAGAGAAGCCACTTTTTAAAAATGTACAGTCGACCTCCTGCATGTACTATTCTGCAGTTGGTATTCAATCATTCACTGTTTACAGCTGATACCATACAATCAGAAATGTATTTGAAGCTTGTATTAAATGTATGTCACACGTCGTCCCCCCCCCCCCCCATGCGCTTCTTCAAAGAGAATACCAAAGCACTTATGTCAAATGTCAAAAGGGAATACTGAAGCACTTATGTCGACTGTTCCCTGTTACTCGCTGTGAAAATGGCCTCTCAGTGGCAAGCTTTTTGGGGCGCACTGTGTATTGTGTATTGCTTCTATCAGAAACACATATCTGTCCCTATGTTCCCCGAACAAAAACTCTATTCGAACAAGTCTGTTTTGAGTACACAGGCACCTGTAGACAAATCCGGCGGCAACCATTTTCTGCAGTGGCGCAATGCTCGACCGAGTCGCGCTCATGTAGTACAACAAGCTCTCCAGGCTCCTTCGACCAATAGGAATACCAAAATGCATGTACGCCTTGTCTTTAAGAACGCGTGCAGCCTGCGCGTGAGCGTGACACCACCGCAGTAAAAGCCTCTAATTCTGGTCACCGGATTCCACTATAGAGATCAGGGGAACAGTTCAGGAACCTGTTTAAACAGGTAGAACATGTAGAAAAGAGATCAGAAGTTCTGTGTTTTCAGACCTTATGTTTTTCTACAGATAACCGCAGAAAATCTCTCTGACAGATCTCAAAATCAGTACACAAAATTCAACAAACAGGCTTCTCCCATACAAGAAAGCGTTTGGGAACACACACTCCTTGTCTGCTTATTGCTGATGTGACATTGCATGTTATCCTTCAGGCACTACCCAACTTGGCAGGTCACAGAGCCCCTTAATGTAAACGTGCATGATTATAGTTTCCGGTACACTCCCAATTCTGTAGTATCCATGCATTCACTAATCATTACTAACCAGTCAGGCTAACCTTTTTCCCCCCACTCTCTGAGCAGAATTGGTGACGGATACTATCCAGTTCTCCCCCTACCCCCTGGGTGAGAATTTCAGCTGAGCGTCTGTCGTTGAAACGGTCAAAACCCTTCCCGCTGAAACTTTGAATCCCGAGGATTCCTCACCCCACGGACTGTATATGTGGTTTGATTGTTTCTTCCCCAGACAGGACAGTCCGCTTAGGAGTGAACTTTACATCACTGAGTGCTTAAGCACCTTTGTAATAATCCTCACAGTGCGTCGGTGCTGAAGCAGATATGCTGTTGCATATTTGGCGGGAAAGTGCGGGGACAGAAATCGGAGCCTGTACCCATAGGTGGCCCCTATCTGATGGAGGATTCTGGAGAGGGTTCTCTCAGATCTACAAACGCTGTCGCCTGTTACGCCTGGTTTCCTTTGCAACCTGGTCATTCTGCTCATGTTTTACTGGTAGTTTGACCTGGACTGTATATTGGGGGAATGTCTTCATCCCGAAACCAAGAACTGATTTGTAGAAATTCATTTTGGAAATGGTCTTTAGGCGTGATGTTACTATTCACTGAGATATCACACCACCACTTCAACACATAATCAGAAAGGATTTGCTATGTATGCAGTCACAGGATATTTTCTTTGAAGGACACTGATAACAAGCACGTAGTTGATGTTCACAACCCAGTGTGTAGTTGGCGTTGAGTCCACACGTATCCCACGGTCCATTGTGGAGTACTCCAGCGCGCACTCTCCAAAACCAGATTGCATGCATGGTAGTTTGAACTTTCCAATCTTTAGGGGAAATGCGCAGTTACCGACTGTGTTCAGAGCTGTATCCAGAAGTTGCTCAAATATACACATGGATTTATAAACGATGACGGAGGAAATTGACGAATGCTGAGTAACATGTAGCAGTGGGCATGCAATATCCACCACAATGCACATCACTCAGTCTATGACTACAAAGAAGAACACCCAACTGGACTAATACCATTTATCAGTGGACATTTTCAAATGTGGACAATTAAGGTCACAGTTGTGTGAGGATTGTTACATCTTGATAAAAATGGAACTTTCTCAAATCAAATGCCGTTGTGCTAACATGGACAATTACGATGCCTGGACTTTATATCATCTTGTGCAGACATCTGGTATGTTAAATTGTAAAGGCTACACTGCCCACTGTCACAATAACCCACTTTTTCTTGTGGGGCAGTCATTATTTACCAACTCCCAAAATGCTGAAATGTAGAACGATAATTTGTGAAAATGGCACAAACAAAAATCCTGCATTTAATATGTGCCAACATGGGGTGTATTTATGTGAACATAGTCCTGTTTCCAAAATATGACCTTCAAATTCTGGTAGCTTAAAATTCTAATGCAGGAGTAACCTTTGAAGTTCAAGCAAGGAAGATGAGCCATTTCAAAAGATGCTGCTAAAAGTGGGTTTGAGAAACGTGGGCCTATGTCACCAAAAGTCACAAGGATTATATTTGTAACCAAGGACCAGTTTTCTCAAATCCAGTTGCGAAATGGTTTTTTTGGCACACTTTGTGTGACAAGCCCTTGTGAATTCCCTTCCAAATTGCAGCCTGTTGGCATTTCTTCTGTTTTAAAACAGTTTGGGAGAAAACAAATGTCTTGTCAAGGTGTGTGAAAACACTGAGAAATAAAAAAAGGTTGCCCAATTTCTTGGAAAAGGCAGCATGTTTTAGTACCAAAAAAAAAAGAAAAACCAGAAATGACTGGTGAATGTGGGAACGTAATAGACCAATCCATGAAGCCCAGCGTAATGATGTTTAACCAATCACGAGCTCAAAAATCTGAGATGCTTACAGGCGCGTATGATGCGCACCAGTGTTGTAGTCGAGTACATTTCCATGAGTACGAGTACTTTGCCATGAGTGTGAGTACTTTGCCATGAGTACAAGTACTTTGCCATGAGTGCGAGTACTTTGCCATGAGTACAAGTACTTTGCCATGAGTGCGAGTACTTTGCCATGAGTGCGAGTACTTTGCCATGAGTACGAGTACTTTGCCATGAGTGTGAGTACTTTGCCATGAGTGTGAGTACTTTGCCATGAGAATGAGCAGGAGTATGAGTACTTAATCATGAGTACAAGGTTTTTTCCACTTGAGTACGAGTACCAAAAGATGTACGCGAGTACGAGTACAAGTATGAGTACTTTCCACAAGTAGGAGCAAATTTCACTAGGTCGAATGCTTTCACTCCAGGGCTTTTTGCTATTGAAATAGGCATTAAAAACAAATGCAGAAGCTTCCCTAACAATAGAAAACTTTATTTTTTTACTACAAACTCTTGCGGGAGAACATTTGCAAGAGTACGAGTATGAGTACTTTGTCATGAGTATGACTATGGGTAATTATGTTTTGGTGAGTAAGAGTACGCGTACAAGTACAATACATTTTCATGAGTATGAGTACGAGTACCGAAACAATGGGCTCGAGTACGAGTACGAGTACTACAACACTGATGCGCACAGCTGGAACATGCATAGGAGAGGCACACCTGTTGTTGGCAATGTGCCAGAGAGCGCGGCCTAGTGGATCGGTCTATTTCAGGAAATTATCAGCAATGACAGAAATGAAATAGCAATGCGTAAGAAATATGATACTGCGTAATTATGATACTGTGTATTTATAGACCTCCAGTGCCACAAAATGGCATTTGTAACTTAGCAAATGTTATATTCCTCACAGGAATTGAAAGCAAGGCACTGAAAATGCTTTTCGGAACAGAAAAAGAAGGTGACTTCACTTAGAACAGGGCATCTCAATGGACATTCCATGTTCTGTTGTCCACAGTTTTTCTTTCCGATTTCATTGTGCAATTTTTGTACTTATAATCAAACGTGAGCCGTTTCTTTTGCCCTTGAACAGTAGCAGACGACGTCGTGAGGGGTATATGGACAGTAGACCAAGCAGGGGCAGACCTATGCCTAGAGATCGTAAGTGGATTGTATTGTTACCCAGGACCTGGAAGTGGTGTTCAAAGTTATTGTTAATTTGCGCGCACAGTGGTCATGCACATTATGGTTGCATATTTTTGGTTGCTGATATGCATTCTCCTGCGGACGTGTAGCAAACTTATCACAAAGTATTGTAGGTAAAATTTGTAGGAGTTTGGGTATGGTTAACTTTTGCGAATTTGCAGTGTGAATACCCACCATGGCAGGGTTGGACCTTAACTTTTTGTGCACTAGCCAGCCGGGCTACTGAAACAGGCTCTTAACTAGCCTGCGATCTTGTCAGTAATTTTAATAAACAGATCTAATTTTTGACTCTCCAGCTGGGCTACTTCAGGAACAGTTTGATTAGCATTTGTCTAGTGGTCTACTGCTTAAAGGGAATGTACATCATTGGCTTTTGCTGTAATTTTCAGAAATGGACTATTTGAGGGTTTAGTATAATAGATCAAGTTTGAAGTTTTGTGTTTGAAAATGCTGGAAAAAACAAGAAAAACCAAATATGTTCAAATAGTCTGGTTCCCTGACTCCACCAAAGATGAAATTGATCAATTTATATATGCCGGAAAATTGTAAAGTAAGTGTAACAGTCTCCCTGGCCTGCACCCGTTCATGAACATGTAACCAATAGCAAACAAAATTTGCACTGAAAAAAATGGTACATTTGGAGCAGTATAGTTAAAAAATAGTAAGGTTTTTCCAACGGTGGTCGGCCGACCACCATTGGAAATTTACACAAAATAGCACTTTTCTATAAAATGACTTCACACCAGGTGCCATAATTTTACAGGATGCTTTAGACCATCATTTACCAACATCCTAGTAAGATATTTTGTAAATATTTGGTAGTTTTGTTTTTCGTAGTTTGCAAATGTTGTATATTCCCTTTAAGTTCATACCGAGTATGAACCTGCCTTTACGGAAGTGTCGAAGCTGTACTGTATTCAAAATAAAACTTGGACATGCCTTCCATCAAAATAAAAACCTGTAAAGTAAAAGACGAAGCCTAGTAATAGTTTTCAGCCACAAACTTGATTTCAAGTATGAACATGAATACAACTACTGCAAACTGCTTGCTGACTGGATTTGCCTCAAATATATACAAATCAAAAAGAAATAGAGGGCCTAACGTTTCGTTCTTGGCAGGACCTTTCTCAGGGCATTTTGTTGCCTTTGAGAAAGGTAAACTGTTGGGCCCTCTGATTATTTTGTTGAATTGATTACAATGAGTCAGTCCTTGATAACAGCAATATGTCTTTTTCTTGGTTGTCTTTTCTTTAATTCAATATGTTGCAAATACTTGAAATTGTTTGATTCCATTCTTCTTGATAAAGGGTTCTGGGGGAGAGCTGAAAGTCAACGGGCATGAGAAGAAATAGGCCAATTTGCACCGTTGTGTAGTCGAACCATGTCAGGATTTTTTATACTTTCTTTAGAATTCCAGTGTTTAACTGGGAAACATTTTGTGATTACTCCTATAAAAAAAATGTGTAGCCTAACTGCAAGTTGTTCTCTTTTCTTCACAGCCTATTTCATGGAAAGAAAGCGACCAAGGTAAACACACTCTCATTGCACTCTTTTCAAAACCGTGCCTATGGGGAAAAAAACTTTTTGGGAAGAAAAACAATTTGGAAAAAAATTTTGGTCCATATAGACTCAAGAAACCATTCAGTAGTCAGTTCAAGTTTGGAAAAGAAATCAATGTTTTACTATTTAACAATTACTTTCATTGTTTACAGTTGATTTGAGTACGATTATTAAGTTCTTGTTTTTGTTGTTTCAGGCCACACTACTCGGAGGTTCCAAGAGATGTGGTGATGAATGGAGTAAGTTTTCTTACTACTTTTTTAGAGACGCTTATTGAATTAAAATGAATGGTTGTTTGTCCAAAAATGTGTGCAAAAGTGGCAGATGACAAAAGACACTGACCTTTTTGACTGGATAGAGTTTTTTCATCACAAATGGTATGTCCGAGCGTTAACCCTCCAATGCAAACATACATTCTGTGCAAAGTTGTCCTTTCAGGGAAAATCAATTAAGTGACTGTTTTCAACTGTTAAGACCCCCCCCCCCAACCTATATAAAGCAGGATTGACTGGCTGTGACACTTGAAGCTTTGACTGTTAGTGATCGATATAAGCCAGCTGTGCGCATACCACTTGCCTGTTTTGTCTGTTGACTGAATTTGACTAGTCACAGTGCTTGCTGGAAATATGATCTGAGTGTTGGTGACTAGCCTGTGTAAAAGGCATTGCAGGGGAAGAGGGTTGATTTTTTTCACTTTCTGTGACTGTAGGAGGGTTAATCATGATAGTATTAAAACCACCCACATTGCATTGCAAAGTGTGCATTTCCTTTCACAAAATTGTTGAAGGTCTTCAAGTGGTCAGCAGGGTTGTTTGGGGGGTGGGGAACGGGGCAGTTGAGGAAATTTTGAATGAATTAAGGAACCCATGTACATGTAGTTAAGTTATTACATTTCTTCTAATCATGCAAGCCACAAAAGAACTTCACCAACCCTCACCCCGCAGGGTAATTTACCAGGAACCTTCCTCACTCTTGTAAATTCCAACACCATTAAACTGTACACATAAACAGTTGGACTCCACCAAACCCTCGTGTTGGAGTTTGGCTGGAAGAGGATCGTTGGGGTTAAAGCCTGTCGGATACTTGGGTACCCAAAGTGATAACTGCCACATTTAGACATGCCCCCTCTGTGTTGCCTCTACTTCTTGCATTGATGATATTGTTTTTCCCTTGGTTTTCAGTCCTACTCAGATTACATGCGAGAGTACAGTCGACAAGTCCCTCCAATGCCCATGCAGCAATTCCATCACCAGCCACCGGTAAGGCTTACCAGTGAAACAATGTACCATGACAGTTGCTGTAAAAACAGAAAACATAAATCCATGTGCATATTTGAGCGACTGTCATGCACGTATGTTCCTTCGCTCCACTTAGTTTGTCAATTGTGCCCAGGTATTCCACTCGACGCCATCAGCCTTTGTCCCTTAAAGCTATAGTCCATCATTTGCAGCCATCCGAAAAGTAACTGGCGTAATTACTGTTGAAAAACAAACTTGGTTGAAAGATAGTAAGGGAACTAAACTCCCTGTGAAATTATTCTTTCTGGGAAGCTGTCATTTTGAAGTAATCAACGAAAGAAGGCATTTCCAACGGTGATTCTTAAGAAGCACCGTAGGAAAATTTAAATTAGTAGTTCGTTTTGTTATTCAGCGCAGCGCGCACAAGTATTGGAACGACGCACACGCGCGCGCGGTTGTTATAATTCGTCGGATCAGTGCGCGACGCCGCGTATAGCTGCAATTACAAAATAATTCAAAACATGATTCAGTAACTTTTGATTTGAAATTGAGATCTTAGAATGCTGTTTTTCTCGGAATGTACAGCTGAAGCTTAGCTGAAACTTCATCAGGTTAGTTGCTCAGTATCCTTTATTAGATTTTGAACACTTTTGTTGCTTCAAACGAACAAAATGCACTAATTACAAATGATGGACTTTTGCTTTAATAAGGCTTAAATGCGGCATGATATAATCAGTCTTTTCTTACTCTAATTTTTGTTTCAATAGGTCTATTGATGCTCCGTATTCAAATGATGTAGTAGTCTTTTCGCAAGCAGTGATTTTCGTTGATTAAGATGTTTATTTTGTTTTCCTTAAAAATCTGAGTTTTTAGGAATAAGGGAGACCTATGGAAGTGCAGCCAGCAATGTCTATGTTCCCTTCCAGGTGATAAATAGGGAGCTACAATTTTTTCTTATTCACAATTATTGATTTGCTCTTCATCAGTATAATTCACGGTCAATTTGCATGGCAAAAAGAAAGCAACGAATATTCCTTTTAAAGAAATGTAGCCCAGTTGATTATATGGTGAGTTTTATTTGAAACTTATTTTGAGTAAATCTTTTCGGGGTATAACTTTGGGAAAACTCACATAATGGAAATTTTTGACATTTTATGCCACCATAGCGCCAGAATATGTTGGTAAAATGTCGCTAACATGCGAAGACTAGCAGTGTTGTAGTCGAGACCGGATAGTCCGAGACCAAGACCGAGACCTGAAGTTGCGAGACCGAGACCAACCCCTTCAAGGCGGACCGAGACCGAAATGGTCCGAGACAGAGACTGAGACTGAGAGCGCGGATAATAAATCACAATAATCTAAATAAAAAAACAAGTCACTAATTACAGCTGAACAGTCTGTCCTTGAGATGATGATGTTGATGGGGATGTGAAGGAAGTGATTGAAAGCTAGGAATTGTGTCATGCGAGTGCTCTTCATGTTTGCTTCATGTCATAAATTACAACATGGCAACAGAATTTGTTATTGTCACAATCAATTAAAAAAAGGGAAACAACCTAATTTAAAGAAGGGGAAAACCTAATTTGATGAACTCCATATATTGTTGCCACTTTTTTAAAAGCATGTTTTTTTTTAAATATAATATTGTTTAACTACTATAAAGTGTCAATCAGATGAAGAAACTCCAACTTAGGAGTACGGCAATTTGTACTAGTTTTTTGCGATGTTGAAACTTGACAAAAGTAAAAAGTTAAAGGTGGATGTTTCATCTGTTATAGGAACTAAACTAAACTGTTACAGGACCCTAAACTCCACAGCCACCCCTTGGTTTCAGCAATGACTACCAACGGATATTTAAAAGCAGCTTTAATTTTACATTGGACCTCCTTGTAAACCTGATTCCAAAAAAATTTGGAGCAAGAAAATATTGATTTATTTTTTAAAATTTCAGTCATGGAATATAGACTTGTACATGTAGACCCAAAAATTGAGAGGTGGTCGCCAGAGAGGCCTGGCTTAGGCTGAAATGTAATGCCACTTTATTTGTGTATAATGTCAATACCATTACATACACTATAGAAGATCGATGAACCATATTTGCCTGATCTATCTTCTGTTAATCTGCCCGCCGTCATCATCGCCATTAGCCTATTTGAGAATATGGCCGACACAATAGAAGGGCGCTGTCACAAACTGAATGTGGTGGGTGAGATGTACTTTTAGGATTCATGGCCGCGTGCGCACGCCTATTTGTGTTTTGTACCAGCGTATCACCCGCATCGGCTACTATGCCGGGCGATTTACTTGAATATTTTAGTAATTTACAAGTACAACATATTGCCAATATTTCACTCTTGGTTATTGTGATGGCCGTAAACAGCATTTAGCAATTAATGGAACAAAAGTCTTCTCGACTCATGCAAACGCAACTGACGTTTAGAAAGGAGACGAGGCAGGCAATTAGACTGTATTTTTGTGTGACTATGGCAGTAGCTCAATTTGTGTTTATCACAGATGAAAAGATGAATACATGGCAAGTCAAAAATAAAGTGACAGTATGATAAAAAAAAAAGAAATGGCACCCTCCATATTTGTAAAAAAATATATATAATTGGGATAAAGAACATGTTATTGAGTAGTAACTCTGAAAATTTTCATTCTCTATTCCCAAGTCGTGCCTATTTTAATAAAGAGATCACAAAATTCAGCTGTCCGCCACTAATAGCAATTTAACGGTCTACGAATTGATGAATATCCATTAATAAATATAATGAAAAAAAAAATGTTTTCCCGCCTCCACGAATAAAGTAAAAATTGAAAAGGAAAATGGAAAAAAAATCACCAATATTTCTGGGGAAAAGAGTTGAATTGTTCCCCATATTCAAAACAAAAAATCTGACGGTAAAAATAATGCTTCAATCTTGATTCATAAGATTTTAATCTCAGTTGTATTTGGAATCAATGAGGATGGCTATAAAGTGCTTGTTTCAACAAACCATCCCACAATAAAAACAAGAAACAAGAAAAGGAGCAATGGTTGTTGGACTATGCCTCACTCACTAGAAAGTGAAGAGAGACATGTCTATCAGCATCACACTGCAGTCACATTTGCCCTCAACTGATTCCCTACTTAATCCTAAACTAGGGCCGGGGCGAAATCCGCCCCCTCACTTCTTGGCTGGTCTCGACTCGAGACCAGCCAAAATATCGAGACCAAAGGGGACCAAGACCACAGCTCCCGAGACCGAGACCGAGACCGAGACCGGCAAAAAGTGGTCTCGAGACCGAGACCGAGACCGGTCTCGTGACCAACAACACTGAAGACTAGTGGATGTCTCTCACTGCGCATGTGCAGCAAGTAATCCCCAAGTGACTACACCGGCAATAGGCTGTGAACATACGTGCATGTACAATGTAAAAGTAAAGGGGACGAACCTGTGTTCACAGGAACGGGGTGCCCATCTCTCTTTCATAGCGATTGGGCCAGACTCATATGCTGCTGTGGGGGGATCGCCACACCTCCTCCACAGCGAGTCTGTTACCTTCCCAGCATTGAACAATGCCTCTACCCATTTAACACCTGGGTTGAGAGGAGTAATTGAGGTGAAGTGCCTTACTCAAGGGCACAACACGCATGGCCACGGTGGGGTTCGAACCCACAACCTCTCGATCATGAATCCTGTGCTCCACCGCTAGACCACACGTGCCGACAAATGTCCAATGTCATGACGTGTAATTATGAATTTTTCTAAGAAACTCCTGTTCAATTGACCTTTGTTTTGCATTTTAGCCTAAAATACCTGCTAGTGCATATTGTACAATGACCAGCTTGACTTGGTTTATGCACATACATTTCCTCTTTTGGGGCTATAAGGGCCACCTACGTTTCACAAGATTTGGAGCTAGAATTTGTTTTCCTGCAGTGCAAACACTAATGCATTCCTGTTTCCTTCAACTACAGATGTACCCAGTGGACAATTTCTCGCCTCACTACCCACCTCCGCCCCACCACCATGGCCGCATGCCTCCACCGGGCCCCATGCCCCACCCGAGGGGCAGCATGGGGGACTACCCGACCCCCCTCATGCCCCCGTCAGCTCGCGGGGCGCGGGACAGGGAACGGGAACGGGACCGCGAGAGGGAACAGATGAGGCAGAGGATGCGAGAACGGGAACGGGAGAAGGAACGACTCAGGGAGAGAGAGAGGGAGCGTGAACGGGGGCGGGACCGGGACCGGGACAGGGGGCGTGACAGGGACAGGGTCAAGGTGCGGGACAGGAGAATGGTAAGTCAGTTAGTGAATCATTTCCAAAAGATATTTCTCTGTGATAGTTTTTAGTAAGGTTTCAGACAGGCTGTAATCGCAATTAAAGGCAGGCACTGCGTACACCACCATCTTTTCCTCAAAAAATGTGGTTAAAGTGGTCAGAAATTGCCTCAGATCGCACCACAGAGCATCTAGAATCCCAAAAAAAAAAATTTGGCCCCCCACAAAATTGTGTTCTGGATCCACCCTTGATAGGCTGATGCTTTATCTTATCCAGGATATGATGGTGTTTGTGTCCTTGAGCAGGTGACTGTGCAACAATTACATTGGACCTAAGACACAAGTGAACCCATTTTGTGACTTCATCTGACCTTCGTTACTGCAAGGGTTTCTGAGGATATCGTAACAGTAGGGTACTTCCCTAATCTGATGTGGCTCATGAAATAAAGGAAATAATGCAACTATCAAAACTGAAGTAATATCAGGCATGCAAAGTTTCCTCGGATCCGCTGATTTCCTTGATTTGTACTTCTCATGAATGCCATTACAAATTGGAAAACACTGTACACAGTCTTGTGTGGTTTGGAATTTCCTTAATTCCCAGTGGCATGCCTGTAATATTATTTTTTAAATATTCACAAACTAGTGTCGGACTGATGTTTTCCCCTTCTCTTTCTTGCCCTTCTCTAGGCTGATATGCCACGTTCTCATGCCGCTGCTGTGGATGAGTTCATCCGACGGACATCAGGCTCTGCCCGGCCAAGTCACTCTAGCCGTAGCCGCAGCGGACGGCACTGACCAACAGAGTGACCGTCAAGTCGTTACAAGGGCTCAGCCAACTGCCTATCTTTTGGACGGTTCGTACTACATGCAAATGTGAAGTGAAACACTTGGAATGTGATCACATTTTGCATGCTTACAGCGCAAAAGCTTGCAATGACCTCAAAAAGTTGCATTCATGTTTGCTTTCGTGCTGAGTAGGAACAAGAGTTGTAATCGAGTCAGTCACAAGTCATCACAAGTCATCCAGTTTTTAGTCAACCACGGATCGTACACACAAGGATGAATGATTGTTCTGAGCTCTAGTACAAAATGCACTGAACAGACTTTGCTTATAATTGGTTGGACGAGTGATAACGGGCCTTAATACCCAATGGCATGTTAATTGCGACTGTTCCAGGTGTGCCATTTTGTCGGTTTTTCGCATGACATCTCAAACGGAAATATTCATAAAACTTTAAGCGAAACCACTCCTTATAATGTAAGATACACTTGTTCCAAAATTGTTAAAAAATAAAAACTTCAAGATATAACAGATGGCATTGTGCAGTTTGTGTCGTCCTAGATGAAGTACTTACCCGGGAAATAAACATCAAATGTGACTCCTTTTTCGAGGAGAACACCGAATACCCAAATTTCGCTTTTTATTAGGCTTTCATCAACAACTTTTAGAGAGATGTGGCCCCAACCCGATAAACAAATACGACATTGAGCGCACCAGATTGAGCGCAGAGCCCTGCAAATATGAAAGCCACCGCGCACAGTGAAGTGGTTAAGCTGTCTGGGTCTTTGTTGACAAGTATTCTTGGTAATTGCCACCTGTACGGGCCGTCACGCGTCTAACCAGGAGTTTGGCTGAGTCGTTAATCCTTGTGTGTAGGATCCGTGAGTCAACTCACAAGCTTTTTAAATGAACTGTGACAAATGCATTGATAATCTCCTGTTACGTCTGACTTGACTCGTGGATTGACTTATGAATTGACTTGCAGTGGACTTGTAAATTGATTCGATTGCAACTCTGGTGTAAACCGACCTTTAGTGCTGTACTAATAATGTCCCATGTTGTGTTTAATACCGTAAATTCCGATAACTGTGAATATGGACATGTACTCAAAGTTTATGGGATTCAGAGCCCAACACTGTGTTAAATATATGGAACTTAATACCAGAGGATAATTGTTTTTGTTTTTATCCAGATAAGAACTATTTAGTTAAAAGAAGAAGTTTGCAGGACATGTAGGTGAAGACCTTCTTTAAAGGGAATATACAACATTTGCTTTTGCTGTTATTTTCAGAAATGGTGAATTAGGGGGTTAGTATTTTATAGAAAATATTGTTACATTGACTTGTTTGAAGTTTTGGGTTCGTAGATGCTGGAAAAATCAAGAAAAACAATCATGTTCTCGTAATCTGGTTCCCTGACCCCACTTCAGATTAAACGGAGCAATTTATAGACGTTGAAGGATTGTAAGGTCAGAGAATCAGTCTAGCTGGCTTGTACCCGTTCATAGGTGTGTAATCAATTGCAAACAAAATATGGACTAACTAAATATGACAAATTGGGAGCAGTATTTGGAAAAAAAAACCTGTTTGATATAAAAATACCACTTTTCCTGAAAGTGTCAGCACACCAGGTGCCATGGTTTTACAGAATGCTTTAGACTATCATTCACTAACAGTATAGTAAGGTATTTCGTGATTATTTGGTAGTTTTGGTTGTTGATGTTTGCAAATGTTGTATATTCCCTTTAAGTTATAGGTTAGCTGCCAGAATTGTTTAATGAGAAATAAGTTTTTATGAGTTTTGGTTCATACGTGGGCTTACATTGGAGTCTGTACAATCTTTAGCTATTGTATATTCAGTCATGTGTAAATAACTCTATTTTCTTTTTTTTCATTTTTTTCTTTTTTCATTTTTTTAAAGCCTACTTTTCAGAAGTGTAGCAATAGAGAAGTGTACAAAATCAAGACTAGAGTAGAACGTGATTCTTTTTTACTTTATCGAAATTTGAAAGACCTTTGAATTAAAAAAAACATGCTGTCGACCTTTTCCTTTTTCTCTGAGACTCTATGGTTAGTGTTTAATTTGATTCAATTTTAAGTAATTGGCACCTTTTTTTTTTTTAGAGAGATGACAATTTAACTTCTTTTGAAAAGTGACATTTTGGGCTTTAATTTCGAATGTATAACAAAATCACAAATACAATTCAGGTATTTTGCTGTATCAGCATCATGAGATGTGCTTTGGAAGCACAGTGATTTACATAATTGAAGTTTGGGTTGTTGATTTGGGCAGAGGAATTCCATTATCTGTAATGTTTGTACATGTAAGCGTTTAAACTGCTGTAATAGAAATTTTGGGAAAGGCTTTTGGGACAACGTTGGAGCAGTTGCAATAGAGTTTACAAAACCAACGTGGTTTGAAGGGAAGTGGTGTAAAATACTGGGCCTGAGATGCTGGCCGACTTGGTTTAGACGAAGTCCAAATACGCCAACACAAAGGGACCAGAAATTGAAAACAGCCTCCCCAAAATCAATCAAGGTTTGTTATATCACTTTTCAAATTAACAAGCTTCATAATCAAGTAATAAAAAAAGATGACATCTTGAATCAGTTAACAGTGTCTGGAAGGTTTCGGTATGGTGCCGCTAACAACCCGACTGCAAATGTTTTGTAATAAAAAAAGATGACATCTTGAATCAGTTAACAGTGTCTGGAAGGTTTCGGTATGGTGCCGCTAACAACCCGACTGCAAATGTTTTGTTGGAGACTGGCAGTCCAGGAGCTAATCTTTGGTTACTACAGCATAATATTGCATACAAAAATGTGAGTCAGTGACTTGGTATCTTTTTTTGAATTGTTGGAACATTGGCCAGTGAAAGAAGTGCATATGGCGCATAAATACGTATGTTATAATTGTCCGTTGTAGTCAAGTCCTTACAACTCAATCGCGTGTCGCACATCAAGTCACAAGCAGAGTTGTAAGGAAAGAATACAAAAATAAACAAAGGTACAAGGTTTTTCAATGAACTGTGTCAAGGGATTTCCTTCTTATGATTGTCTTGAGATTTGAATCATGACTGACTTGTGATGGACATGCCCGCAACTTTCGTAATACCAACTTCCAGTTCTGAGGCCATTTTTGGTACCTAGACTGTAGAGTCTCGAGTTCAAAGGTACAGAGACTTGGGTTCCAGTTTTACAACTTAACTCATACAGTTTATATTCAGGTACAGATTTTAATTGGCAAGACAAAACAATCGAGTTTGAATTTGCGTTTTGTTTTTGGGGGTTTTTTTGGCCCAAAACATCTGAAGAAGTGTGGATAATTAGTCTTACATAGCAAGTAACATTAATGCAAAAAAACAAACGACATCCTTGTGTATCAAATCGGAACACTTTGAAGTCTTGGGCCTAGTGTGTAAATAGGAACTGTACAAGATAATACTTTCCAAGTGTGTATACCATGTACTGCCAAATAAACCAGTTTTATTTTAAGTTCTGTGCGCATATGATGTTTTGGAGGATCAGCTTGTTTGCAGACAGTTATTGACCTAAATTGTAAAAAAACAAAACAGGAAAAGTCTACTCCCAAAATATCACCCACATTTTTGTAGGAAGGGGGATATGGATTACTTCAACCACTGCCGTGTAGTTAAGAGCAAACTGTTCCAATGCCCCAAGGGTATTGAATGACTACAGGAAAATAGACATCAACTACATGTGTACCTCATTGTCCTTTATCATTCAGTCCTGTGCATTTGGTTTTCAGTTTTGTTTCGACCATTTATATGCAGAGTTGTCGCAAATCGTAGTGATGGTTGGCATTGCTTCCCCGGGTCACAATAAGACAAAAGTAGTTCATATAAATACAGTAGTGTGATATTTATATCTTACTTTCAGTTCTGCATTTTATTATTGGGGATACAATACCATGTCGTAGTGCCAAAAAAAGACCAACGCTTTTTAGTTTCTTATATCAATTGTCAAACTTGTTTTATCCCTTAGTGAATGGTTGATGACATGAAACAAGAATAAAACTGGTTTTGATATGCCAAGTATCAGTTTTGATTCCTTTGTCCATTATTATTTATTCATAGAAACCAAGGTGAAATTGTGCAAGTGACATGTTCAGTTTATCAAATATACATTTGAGACTTGCCAAAAATCTTGGAATTTAAAAAACAAAATGTACCCATCTTACTCCTTAATATATTTCAAACCAAATTTGAAAGAAATCATTCATAAGGAATAATGGATTATTAAATGATTACAGTATTACTCTCAATATATACTACCACCATTGTGATTAAGGTATCTTTATTTACAGTAAATAAAATATAAACTACACAGTATATACCATTCTCTTAGGTACACTGCAATGATCATAAACACACATATTCCGCTGAAATTGGGAAGACCATTTTTAATTTTTTTTTACAAGCAAATAATATGAAGTGTAGTTGAAAGACTACCGCCCTGTAGTCATCTGAGGATTTGGCTCTGGTTTTCAGCAGGTCTATCGTGGGCATTTGTTGGTTTTTGCTGTACCTGATGGACCAACTCACTGACTGACTTGTCATTCATGAATTAGACTTAGTGAAGTCTCTGGCTGACTGTCTCTTGTTAATAAGACTGGTTACCCATCTCACCGACAGACTGTCACTAGACTGGTACCTGGTCCCTCCATTGTCCTGCGGACTTCGAATGTAGGGACCGGTAGTGGGTAATATAGAAATACATTAGGAGGATTTCCTCCTAATATATGCAAATTATATGCAGGACTAGCCTAGGTCTGATTCCCGTCCACTGAATACAAAATCCCAACGATAATGTTAGCGCGGAACCAGCCTGTTGTAAAATGGCAACAAGGCTACCACTAAAGTGCAGTGTCTGTGGTGATGAGCTTTGATTTTCGCTGATTTCGAAAGGGTCTCTGGCAAATATCAATAAAGAGAGGGGCACTACTTTTCAGTATTTGAAACCTATGCAGTTGAAATGCTTGGAAGCTGCCTTTGTGGAGACACTGGCAAGTTTGCCTACTGGTTATGGTAAGAGTTTTTTTATAGTCATGTGTTCAAATGTCATCCATTCGCGAATTTGTAATCATTATATTCAAAAATAAAAAATCATGCTGCACACGCGTCACTTCCTTTAAATGACTCAACTCGAGTCACAAAATTCAGTGACTGTTTCAAATCTGTTGAATGGTAAAGTGCTTTGCAGCACATTTCACCGCAATAGTGATTACCACGATTATTTTCGCTTCCTGAAGAAGATTGAGTAATTAAGTATTAGACTTGGAATTTGGGAATTTTGAACAACCTAAAAAAGGCATTGGTTTCACTAGTCCCCACCACCCTATCCAAGGGCACTGACCTTGCTCCATTGTGAATACATTTTTTTGAAGCCATGCACACAAACTACATTGTTTATGGCAAGTGCCATTAGCACAATGCTTTGCCACACCGGGATTCCCTTCATACGTTTTTATGAATGACATTTACAATCAGCAGCTAGATTGAGCAGAGAGGACCGAGCAAAGGTGCAGGGTTATGTGGGCTGCAGCAGTGCACATGAAACAGTAACCACACTCACGCCAAGTTCATCTGAGTGGCGTCACAACTCCAACAGCATGTGAGTATCCAGCAAGTAACACGAATGGTGTAAACCCTCAACGATTTTTTTCGCAGCCCTTACAATGTACTTTACAATTTCAGTCTGTCCTAAACCCTGGGAGAGAGGGAGGGTTAGGAAAAGTCAATGAGGAGTCCCTCTGCTGGTTCCTGTGGAGTACTGGTGTTGGTGGTTGCTTTGGGTGGGGGTGGGGGCGCGTTCCTCCTTGGCTGGAGGGGTAGTGCTTGCTGAGGTGGTGGTGGTCTGGGTGGGGGTGGTCTGGCTGGTGGGGGTCTGGCAGCTGCTTGCATTGTGGGTGCAATTGGTTGTTGCTGCAATAGTTGCTGGGGTTGTTGCTGCAATAGTTGCTGTTGTTGTTTCTGCTGTTGCTGCAGCAACTGCTGTTGTTGCTGTTGCAGCTTTTGTTGCTGCAGTTGTTTCTGCTGAGTTTCAGTTGCTTGTTGCTGTCGACAAAAGAAAGACCAAAACTAAGCGCTAGAATCTGACGTGTGACAACCAAGGATAAATGTTTTCATTGTGTTTCTCTCAAAATGAAATCTGAGAGTTGCATATGGCCTTCTCAATGTACAGTACCGGTATGTCAAAATTCATTCTGCAAGAACCTTTCTGTAGTGAATTTCTTTAAGAGACACACTGACACCAATCAGACCAAAATCTTGTACAGTATATTGTCGCCCCCACCAGATTTTTTTAGTGTATACCCGTATAGTGGTTGTTAGTAACAGTGATTTTGGACGTCTAATGCTCTTATAGTAAATGTAAATAAAAAGGGGATGTTTGTTATAGCTGAATGTTCGGTATGTCGTTTTTAAGCTCTGGCAGTCCTGAGCTTCTATATGTCACTTGGTGGTCGGTCGGTCAGTCTGATGGTCTGTCTGTCCCTGAAAATTGACCAAAAGTATGGTGTTCCATATGTGCCATCGGCGACGTATTTTTCAGCGTCGCGTTTTTAAGCTCTGGCAGGGATCATTTTGATCGATTTCATGCAAGACTTTCATGCAAGACTTCTTGCAACACGGCCAGATCTTATTGTGCACTCGCACTTGTTCATCATAGCAGCATTCTACTTGTACCTTTCTGTCTCAGGAATATTGTGACACTTACATCAACCTGTTTTTTGGTTTGTAGCTGAAAAATGATTGAAATGAGAACTTCTTGCAATTTTGAGCTCACCATATCTGTCAACCTCTTGATTTTACTGCGAAGCATGATCCATGTAGACTTGAGTTGTTCGTAGCTGGCGCTGCGGATCGCCTGCACCCACTGGTCACACAGCTGAGCCGAGGGAGCCAAGAAGAAGTGCTTCCTCTCTCTGTCCTCCTGAAATGCTGCGGTTACAAATATTTTTTAGAAAAATTAGCATCCAAGATTAGAGTTACTGTACACTTACACTACTACTACTTCTACTCATTTGCCCACAGGTGGGCTCGAGTATGGCTTTTCCAAGTAATTTGGTCCCGCATGAGGGTGGCTAGTTCGTCTGTCAACGCCCATGCTTTCAGCATTTTTAGTTTTCCATGCTTTTCTGGACAATTGATGGCGATGTTGCTGTGATGTCATTTCACAAAAGGGTTTTCTGTTCAAACTGTGAACTTGAACATTTGCTCACTGAAAACATTTGTGAGAAAATGTGCTCATTGGTTTACTGTCATGTACTGACATAACAGCGGATCACCAAAGAAAAGAAAATTTACGTCAGCAAAATATCCAAAAGTCTGGCAACTTCTGGTGCTGAACTAGGTGTAACCTTGAGGTTTCTGCCTGAAATGACATCACACTTTTGCTCATGAATGTATGGCAATTCACATAAGCATAAAAAACAAGCAGGGACTGTAATAACCTTGAAAATGGCAACAATGAAAATAGAAAATAGGGTTAAATGGGACACAAAGGTGTATTTTAGAGGATTGCATTAAAAAATTACATTGCAGGGCCCTTTAATGGAATCTTGTTAACAGGATTTGTATAATGAATGAATGAATATGTCTTTCTAGACTCGTTGCATCTAATTATGTCACGTCAGACGGCAGGCCTTTGTTCCTCTGTCGTATGCATGTGTAGACACAGTCAGTCATGTGGTTGCTAGGGCAAAGCTTCTGGTGTTGTTAAATAGGCAAAGCTAATCCGATTACGTACTTAGACGCCATAATAGAGCAGTGAAATCCATGCACCCAAAAAAACATGGCCTTTTGAACGTTGTGTTTCTAAGAAAATATGCTCCGTTTGACTGAAATGTTAAATTATAACGGATGACAACATTCTAAACTTCATGTCATCGATGCCGAAACGTCAATACTGGTTACTGGTAAAGCTGACCTTCAAGTCTGGAAGAAATCGTTTGAAAACTTCCCCAAATGCATGTATTGACCTCAATTTCTAGGAATCTCTCCAAGTTGTTATTTCACAAGTAGTTCAACACTTATATCATCTAAGAATAGTCTGAACCTTATTAATACTCGTCAGGCTTGAAAAGATTGACAGATATTGCAAACGCCAGTATACCAGCTTTCAAAAGTGCACGTAGCCAAGCCTATTTTTCCAATTTCAATGAAAAGTAATGAACACATTACAACGATTTTTAGCACATACTTGGATCATTATGAGGGAAGTAAACCCTGAAAGTTGCATGAAGATACAGTCTTCCAAACGGGAGAAATTAATTTTCAAAGATTTCGCCCGCCAACGTGAACATGTGTGTGCACATGTAACTTCATTCATAATGAAGTGTTATGTAACCTTTAGAAATCGCCCTTCGCAGCCACATGACTGCACTGTTATTTCATTGTCACTGAATGTAATTGACAAACACTGCCCTCCGTTCAGGCACACCGTGCAAAGGCTGAAAATGATCTCCTGACCTATTGAGAAGACGAAGCCTTTCTCCGCAGCCATTTCTCGCTGGACGGTGAAGCGTTCCAACAGGAGAGCTCCCAGAGGCTTGAAAGGAAATGAGACACATCAAAAAAACATTAAATTAATGATCGGCCTTTAATGAATATCAAAAGGATTTTGTTATCAAAACGTCGCCCATTACATGGAGCTAGAAAGGCCATTCGAGTTGGGGCTACACAAACAAAAAGGAGCTCAGAAAAAAAGAAAATCACAAGTCAATCACAAGTCGTCCCATCTCAAAGTCAATTCAATTGTTTTTCTCCTTTTGACTTTTCAACTTGTATGTTTTATTTTATTTTGGATTTGTTTGCACACAGGAGTCAGGTTGGCGTAGTGGTACTTTCCCCGCCTTCCACCGCTGTGACCCGGGTTCGAATCCCGCCTGGGCCAATATGAGGATTGGGTTTTCAGTCCCTACCTGATTCCGTGGGCTTTCCTCAGAATATTCTTCTGGGCTTTTCCTCCCACCTCTAAAACTGTAATTTCTTCTCATTGTCTTCTCTCCACAGGTTTCTTCAGGCTTGCGAGCTACAGTACCTAGGGCGCTTTTGAGGAATCCTTGGTTTCATTACCAGAAATGATTAACAATAATAATAATAATAATAATAATAATATTTGCCCTGCGAGTAGACCAGTTCCCAAACCCTAAATTAACGGTTCTGATATGGGGTGGAAACCAGTCTTCCCTACTATAAAAACTGAATTATTCTTGGGTCGAAAAAAGTTCCCAATAAATAACGTAATTTTTCCATAACTAATAAGGTAGACCAAATTAGTAGACAAGTAGCTTTAATAACAAAACACTGAAACGAACTGTCCCAAGGGCATTGTTCTGTCATTGTTCATCTCCCCTTGCTTGTAAGAAAGTCGTTTACTGACTTGTGAAGATTTTTGATTTAATTTAAAAAGTGAAATCAAAAGTGACTGGCTTGATTGCAACTTTACATGTATGTACTTCTGAATTCTGAAATGCGTAATGCTACAATTTCTGAATTTTATATCTGCAGATCTTCAATTCTAAACTGGGGGAACAATATTTCAACAAATGCATACATGTAGCTACCCAGTATCAGAGATACCCACTGTAAGCATTGTAAAAAGGAACATGTTTCTTGTAAATGTGAAATTGGGGATTTTGCTGCATTTTACCTCTGGCGATCGCCTATCTTCAGCTAGCTTGTAATAAAACAGGAAATTGCCTTGAAGTCGGAACTCTCGCTCCCGGAATGCTGAAGAGGAAACAAAAATCAAATCAAATTGAAACCCAACTGATTGAGCATTTTTTTAATTTCAAGAATTTAATGAAAAAAAGCTTGTTCAAAGTGAAAATAGGGCTAGTCCCAATAACACGTATCCTGTGGATTTATTCTGCCTGGAAATGGTTTCGATCGAAAGAAAGCAATCGGAAAGGTGGTATTCAAAAGTGTGCTCATGGCAATACTTTTTTACGTATCGGTAGGCCTAAGTCAGCAATAGAATCCGGTTATATGATACCAAAACAATTGTGCAAATATTTTTTACTCTGTTCTCAAAATGTACAGTAGCCACTGAGCCATTATGCAGTTTTCTTCAGATTTTGAGCAACTTGTCGCCTCAAACAAACAAAAAAATGCACCAAAAAGCAAATGATCTTATGTACATTTTATACTTGACCACAAAGCTATATTATATGATTTAAACTTGTAAACGTTGATTCAAGTATCTAGATGCAAAAGCATTTTCATGTAGTCAGCACACTGGGCTATTGGTACATGTATTTCAAAATTTCACTCTTTTAGAGCACAAATTTACTGGAAAAGTCACACATACATGTATGTAGTATACTTTTACCCTCCTGCTGTTTAAACAGTCACAGACAGTCAAAAAATCAATCCTCTTCCCCTGCCATGCCTTTTACACAGACTAGTCACCAACAGTCAGATCATATTTCAAGCAAGCACTGTGACTAGTCAAATTCAGTCAACAGATGCAAAAGCATGCAAAAAGTAGGCACAGCTGGCTTATCAATCACCTACAGTCAAAGCATAGCTGCATCAAGTTACATAAACAGTCACAGCCAGTCAATCCTGCTTTATGTAGGCTAGGAGTAGGAGCTCTTAACTGTTGAAAACAGTCACTTGATTGATTTTGACTGAAAGGACAACTTTGCACAGAATATATATTTGCATAAGAGGGGTAAAGTTCACGTACTACATATACATGTACATGTTCATGTGCATGATCTGTATGCCTGTATCTGCAGAAACTTGAGATTCATACACTATAAATGTAGCACAGTAATCAACTGAGTTAAAAAATAGTCACAATCACCTTTGTCACACTACATTTGGATCGAAATGGCTCACTCAGTCTATGCGACAACAAATTAGTTAATTTTACAAAGAGTGAAAAACATCAGAAATGTATCTTCACGCCAGGGCTCTGAAGAGTGCTTCCCAGGCACTAAGGAACTCATGGGCTTCTACAGTTTCTGGTCAAGTAGCCTGTGATGCCGTGGGCCTATGTGCTCAAAGCAACCCACGGACCCGTGAGAAGGGTTACCTTGCGCTGAAATTAATTTAGGATTTTGGAGGATTGCGGAGGGCACGGAAATCACAATCACTTGACTTGTACTGTGAAGTGCTGGGAGTCGTGACCTTTCAGCAACTGAACAACGTTGTTTAACGTTTGTGTCTACGCTTTTCAATGTACATCAAATGAATTTCGTGCATTTGATATGGGAAACTTAAACGTCCTAGCCAGAGTTTTTGGTCCACATTTTGGGGTTTGGGTGAATATTTGTCTCACGATGCAGCATGGGTGATGGGTCCTGGTTTTTAATCACTTTAGCTTTTGCATGCTTGAAAAACAAGTAGGCCTACATACAGACTGGGACCCAAGGGTGCAAAACAACTCAGGCCAACTTTACCAACTCTTTGGCTGACCAAAAACCTCCAAATTTTTCAGGAGGCAAAGGCAAAGTCTTCAGTATTTCACCAGCCAAGTTTGAGGTCTCAGTTCAATTTTTAAAGGAGACTTTTTTTTCAAGGCTACATGTAGACTGGTACATGTCCAACTTTGTGAAAAGATTAACCCTTGTTCAGTAGTCTGGTAGCATGACTATAGAGAATGTGTAGAATAGAGCTAGGTACGGGATGTTTTTTTTTTTTGACACAGTTGATTGATGCAGTGGTCAAGGGGTGTTGGACTGGTTGTTTCATGTGCCAGTCTATTTTTTTGGTGTTGCAAGTTTTTACAATCTTAAGTTTTGGGACTATCGTACACAGTATTGAGATTCCAACATTTTCAGACTACATGTAGCCCACATACCATAGAATGTACATGAAACATTAAACATACTACAGAAGTATACTTTGAAAGTGTTTTTAGCCTGTTTTTATTGGGGGGGGGGGGACCAGACAGATTGACTAAAATGTAAACGATACACTGGTGATGGTACAAGAGTACAATTGTATGATGAGTTGACCTATTTCCATACCACAGTACGAAATTGTGCAGACATTAGGGAATCAAAGATGCATGAGTAATCCAGTCCCTATAGTGGCTTTCTTCCTTTTCTGCTTTTCCCACTTTTCCTACAATTTTTCTGATAAAATGTTAAATACATACTCCCCCTATTCCCTCCCCCCCCCCAAGGGCCGATCCAAAACACAATTTGGGGGGGGGCCAAAAAATATTTTTTGGATTCTAGATGCTCTGTGGTGTGATCTGAGGCAATTTCTGACCACTTTAACGAATGTTTTTTTGAGGAAAAGATGGTGGTGTACTCATTGCCTGCCTTTATTGCGATGTCACATAAAAAAAAAAAATGGTTTCGTTTTGGGGGGGGGGGGGGCCATGGCCCCCTTTGGCCCCCCTGGATCCGCCCTTGTCCCCCCCCCCCCTTCACTGACTGTCCTTGACCAATAGAATTAGTCCAAAAGTTTGGGACTCTCAATACTGTGTATTTGAGAGTCCCAAAATTTCAGACAGTGAAAACATGTTACAAAATAAGAACATACATTTAGACTGGCACATGACACAACCAGTCCAACACTCCTTAATAAATTACCGTAGTACGTACTGCATCAATCAACTGTGTCAAAAGAAACATCTGGTACCTATTCACTATTTCTGCACATTTGTCATACTACAGTCATGCCACCAGGCTACTGAAGGGTCAATCTTTCACAAAGTGGGACATGCACCAGTCTAGTCTTAGACTTCAAAATGAAATCACTTGGCTTCACACTCAGGTGAAAAGTGTTGAAGAAACATCTCCTTTAAAAAATCAGGTTATCGTGTAGTTCAGCCTTCAGGACTCCGTTCAAAGAGAACTTTTATATTTTGGGACTGAATACATGTACATTTGGCTATGAAAGTATGATACAAGCAGGAAAAGTCACTTTGTGTGTTTGGAATCATCTAAATAGTTCACTAAGATACAATACAGTCAGTGCGACAGTTCCGGATCATCGACAGTTCCAGATCACTTGATTAAATAAAATTAATTCAAGTGTAACCCAACTTTTTGCCTAGATTTTTTTCCACCAATTTGAAGGTCTGCCATTTTGCAATTGTCCGGGAAAGGCCATTTCGAACAGCGCTTAAACATTACCCACGATCCAGTTTGACGAAATATCCGCTTGTTTAGTAAAGGAAGTGTGTAAAGGCAAAAATCTGGTTTCCTTTTTTTTCTTCACTTTGTTAGGTTTTCTTGTAAGGAAATACATGTAATCTCAAGTATCACCGAGTTATAATGATTTGGGCATTTGAATTCAATTTTTATCCCACCTGAGACTGTTGCGGATCACCAATGCACACGATGCAGTTTTGTGTGCAGTTAAAATGATAAAGGCATGACACACGACGCGCTCAGCGTGCTGTGAATGATGAATCTGTACATGTACCATGTAGCGCAGCATGCGTGATCTGGAACTGTCGAAAGTGATCCGCAACTGTCGGGTTCAGTCCTGTACAAAAGCCATGATTTATTTCCCTTTCAGTTGAGTCTGTGTGAAAATACTTGCTTTTAACTTTTACTATTGAAATGATGTCACTTGGGCCATGAAAGTCCAAACATGTGCACACGCGCATATATACAGCAGCTTGTATAAAAAGTGATCCGGAACTGTCGCACTGATAGTACCATCTCATATTCAATATTGGGCGATCATGTAGTGTAGGGCCCCTGTTTTGTTTCGATCAAATAAGAATCAAGAAAAAAAATATTTCTAAAAAATGACATTGTCAACCTAAAACAGACTTCTCTCAATGTTTTGACACCTTTTTGGTAATTTTTGAACAGTTTCTTGGGGTAGAAATTACGAATGTCGGACACTTTGCCCCATTTCCACGTCGCCCCATGTCACTTCGCCCCTAACCACTTCACCCCATCCCCACTTCGCCCCATCCCCACATCGCCCCATCCCCACTTCGCCCCATCCCCACTTCGCCCCATCCCCACTTCGCCCCATCCCCACTTCGCCCCATCCCCACTTCGCCCCAGCCGTTACATGTAAAAAAAATCTCATCTATTTTATTGGCTTAAAAACAATTCCAACAGATTCACTCATTGCTAACCAACTGAAAGAATTAGCCCACCAAATGAACAATTCATAACCAACCTCTCAAGCTATCACTCTCCCCTACCGAGAAAAAAAGCTTGAAATAAAAGATCCAACTTTGTTCCCAACCCGGCTATACCAACCCGTTTCCCACTTATCTGAGAACGACAATACCTTTGACATCCTAATTTCACTCTTGGAGGAACCAATCTACATGGGGCGAAGTGGGCATGGGGCGAAGTGGGCATGGGGCGAAGTGGGGATGGGGCGAAGCGGAGATGGGGCGAAGTGGGGATGGGGCGAAGCGGGGATGGGGCGAAGCGGGGATGGGGCGAAGCGGGGATGGGGCGAAGTGGTTTGGGGCGAATTGGGGATGGGGCGAAGTGGTTAGGGGCGAAGTGACATGGGGCGACGTGGAAATGGGGCGAAGCGTCCGACACCCGAAATTACAATTTTCCTACGTGGATTACTGACCGGTTGGTGCCGTGCAGCGCGACTTGCGTGCTCACGGTACACACGGTACATCATGAGGTGATTGCCATCTTTATTTTCGTGTTGCGTTTTGTCCTTGTCATCTTCATTTTACCCCCAAGTTTCCCTCAAAAATTCAAAACCTTGCCCTTTATCTATGACGTACCTATATGTTCTTAATGTAGCCAACTAGTTTGGTTGGTCAAATAATTTAAAAGTGGATTTTGTTCCCTTATAGGAACCGGGCCCTACACTACACGATCGCCCAATATTGAATATCAGCTAGCTAAATTTTGTGGAAAAAGGGCAGGGTTTTAATTGATGAACATAACTTGTAAAACATAAGAGGTGTCCTAAACTACACGATTTAATACCAAAAATCTACTTGAGACCTCGAACTTGGCTGGTGAAATACTGAGGACCTTGTAGTACCTCATGAAAACTTTGGAGAATTTTGTCAACTAAAGACTGAGTGAGTAAAAAACATTATTCCTCCATAGTCCATGGTAAAAACGGCTAGCCGGCTAGATTTTGTTTTGCATGCTTTTCTGCTCTCAAGGTCCCAGTCTGATTCAGAATGTTATATTATTAAAAGCATCAATTTTTTGAAGCCCAGGAGGGTTTCCAAAACTATATGCAGCTTACCCTGTCCCTGTAATTCACGGACGGGCCGCAATTTCCCCTGCTGTATCCCCTTGTAAAACAGCCGTCCTTTCATGGTTGCCTCGGTAGTGGCCGAGCAAGCCATGCGAAACAGTTCTTGCTCGGAGTATCTCATTTTGCCTGTCCAATTCTTCCCGATCCTCAGCTCAAAAACTCTCCAATTTCATACCACATGCTTGTTCAAATGTAACTCTTGACTACTTCAATGGAAGCACGTGGATCTACATTATACAATTTCCGAGGGAAACTCCCAATTATAACAACGCGATTGTTTTCACTTTTTGTGAACTCAGCCAAGAAACATCGGTGAACACCCCTAAACTTTGACCTACCGGTACTGTACAAGGCGCCCTCTGTTGAAATCGGAGATGGGTCAGGAATTAATAATTTTCATGTCAATAATTTTTTCAACCAATGCACACCCTTTATCGAAGGAAGTAGTGCGTGCGGGATAGCTTTTGACTTAAATACTTGAAAATGAGCCTTTTCCATATGTGGGTCACTCTATAAATTTGGGATCCACTTTTTTTTCCTGTCCCTGTTGCATCTGACAATGACTGATCAATGACATCTCGTATGATTGTATAATTTTATTGTGATGTACTCCTTAATGCACAAAGTCGTCCTCCAAGACCGTGATTATAAATAGCAAACTACCTACCCATCACCCAATAAATTAAAAAAAAATTCGTTTTGAAGTCACTTTCGAGTTTTTTCGACGCTAAATTTATATGACCCACAACTTGAACTGTTAGCGCCCTTTTTAGGGTCTTATATGCTATATATATACTTTGCAATTTGTTTAGTGCGTGGGTGAAATGTGATCCACAGTGAACCTAATATGTCGCCCTTTCTTGAAATCAAATAATTATAATCAGCACGCAACTAAAACAGGCCTGTATGATAAAACTGAGGGAAATGATGATCGTTTGTTTCCCTCTCAATATTGTGCCTCCATCTGATGCGAAACCCTGTTCATTGCCAATTTTCTCCCACTATTTTTTTTCTCTCATAAGTTCAGTATAGATTCGGCAATAAATCCTCTTCTTGTTTATTATAAACCTGGGATTTATTTTGGGTTATATTATAACATGTTTTTGGGAGCAACATGTCCAATTATCCCACATGTTAATTACATGTATAACACTTCATCACGAAGCATGTTGACTTTTTGCCACCCTATTTCGGCAAAGCACAGATTGCTGCGCACAACAAAAATCGTACAGCAACCTTTCAGAAGACCGAGAATTTTGATCATTTTTAATTTCCCTATTTAACAGATCTGAGTCATTTTGTCATGTGTCATATGTCATATTTGCAGCTTTTTGTCAAATTAACATTTTTAATCTCCAACAGCAGCTGTGCTTGTCGCGCAATATTCCTCAGCTGCAGACGTGTCTTAATTAATTTCATTAATTAATAATAATGTTACAATGTTCTGACTGCTATACTAGTGAATGAAAGCACTGTCCTAGTGCTCGTGTATAGTACAGCATTATAAACATCCTGATATCGACATGATGTTCATTCTAGCCATTTCATACGTTAGTGCAATGTGATATTAGCACAAATGTACCATTAGGGAGACACGTTATCGTAATTTCTTCGACAATAGGAGACACTGGTCATTAGGGAGAATGTCTACCTAATTCCACAGCCCCCCTTTAGAGGTAAAATGTTATTGTCGCAATCAGGTTATATTTGTTGCTCGTGGTCTAATTAGTAAAAATACCGAAATTCGTGGGAAAAGGACAAGGGAATATGGGTTAGGGCACATTTAAGTTTGAAAAATTTTGTGCACAAGTCTATGGGAATGTCTCCCAAATGATACATTCTCGGTAATTATTATTTCGAATGTTATTAATAATGCTACACTATTCATGGTAAATATCATTGGCCTTTAGTGTTTTGTGTTTATAAAATAAAGGATTGCTGTGGGCCCGAAAGTCGGTACGGTTAATTATTCTCAGAGCTTTTTTTTGAAGGGCAACAATTCTATTAATATTACTAATTTCATGAATCTTAATGAAGGCAATATTACAACATCTCCATGTGATTTTAAGTGTTTATAGTGTATCTCGAGTAATTCATGGGAATTTGGCAGATTCATTGATAAATCTGACAGATTTTTGAAGTGCATTTAGTAGAATTTGGCCATGACCTTACGGTCACCCTGATTCTGTCCCACCCACATTAACGGAAAAAAAACAGCAAAGTGTTTGCTAGTTTCGTGGAGCTTTTACTGCCCCACGTGTTGCTACAAGCACCAGTGGTTTTATGATAATTGACTACCACCTGACATTAGTTCCTGTAATGGTATGCGCGTTGATAACACTGCTTTTTATACGTACCGATGGTGAAATTCTGATTAATGATCGAGCACTCAGCTAGTTCAAGGTGATGTGAGCTTGATGCATGTTCTGTATAATTGTAGGCATAATAATTACATGCATTCGATGTCGTGTGTGAACGACTAAGCCTGATGGGTTCGCGAAGTCAAGATTGGCCGAGCTGATGTGACGGATGTGGGGAAATTGGCCCAAAAAGAGATTGGGATGTGTGTTACCAGGGAAACACCGAAGGGTGTCACGTTTCAATCAATGTGGGAATTCTACGCGTGCATTTGACTAAACTAGAAGGCTTTATGGCTTTATTTTGTTGTGGTTCTTTCAACATTTTTTTCATATCCTTGGGCCTATTATCCCTCATTCACCATTATTATCGTCATTATATTGCCACCACAATCACCACACCACCATTGCTATATGCCTCATTATTATCATGTGCCTCACCACATCAATACTATCTTCACCACCATGCAGGCATTCCCTGCACCATCACCACCACAACCATTCTTTTGCATGTTATCACCACCATTGATATCACCATTATATGGAGTGGTTAAGAGCACCGGACTCATGCTCTGGTGTTTCAGAGGAAAATTAGTGGCGTGGGTTCGAGCCCGGGCCTGGACACTTGTGCCCTTAAGCAAGGCACTTAACCATTATTGCTTCGTCCTTCGGATGGGACGTAAAGCCGGAGGTCCCGTGTGTTGTGTAATGCAATGCACGTAAAAGAACCCAGTAACACTTATCGTTCAGAGAAGGGGTTTGCCCGGTGTTTCTGGCCTCCTAGTTATACTTCCTTGTGGAAGTCCTACAGGAGAAGAACCAACCAAGTACCAAGTACCAAGTATATAAACTTACCACAACCGCACAACCGTCGCCATGCATGCTTGCATCATCACCATTTCCACCACAATACAGTGACGTAACTAAGGTGGCCGGGGCCAATCACCAACCCCCAACCCCCACCCCCTCCCTTTGAGGCATTTGAACCCGCCTCCTGTTTACAGTATAGTATAGAGTTCCCAACGCCACAAACTGAAATTATCACTTATGCTCACCATACGATCATCACCATTGCAACCATTTCATCTCCACTGATTACCATCAGGGTAAAACCCCAATAAGTAGGCCAAAAATCCGTCCGCTGAGCTCATGAATAAAAGTACACTCAAATTATTCTATATTATTTTAGAGAGCTGTGAGAGCCCTGGAATTGGGAATTGAAGACATATGGCACTGTACCTCTGGCCTGGACGTGGGGCTTCCAATTGGGTCCGAAAGTGGCGCTGTTTAGCCATGTTGTGGAGGGATCCCAATTTTTCAAAATGGCTACTTTTCCAGTTTTGGAAGCAGCATTGGTTTTAGGGATTGTCTTCTTTACCATCGTACCAAAACTTGAATAGAAAATGAAAGATGACATGTTGATCATCATTTTTCTGTAAAGCCTGAATACCTGTGAGTATTTTTTAAAGATCGTTGAAGTGTGTGAATTGAACACTGGTGTCTGTGGGAATGTTTATACTGGGTTGCACCCATCATGACCAGCGTCATCAATCCCGTCATGCACGGGCAGATACAGGGTCCATCATGAAAATAATCATATGGGGGCGCTCTTCTGTTGCCCAGTTAGCTATAGCTGAACCGGTCTGACGATTCATCGCGATGCATTGTTTGTAGTTTCCTCTCGGGTATAAATGATTTACTTTTTAATTTCCTCATTTCCAAACGGGTTTGATCGCAAACCCCCTACACCCCATGGCGATGCCTTCCTCCCCCGATCCAAACCCTTCCACAACTTGAAAGCCATCATCAGCTTCGGCATGAGGGCCTTCGCCATAACATGCCAGCCAATATGTCATCCAATAAACTTCCAGCCGGCCCTATTTCAGGAGTATCCGTATACCTTCGGGTAACACAAACACACCACGACTACAAAACCTGGTCCGCTCCCCGCATCATCAGCGCTCTACCTTCAAAATGAATCAGTGCCGCATCACAGAAATCAATTGGAAGAAATCAAAATTAAAATACCACGTCGGCCTACGGGGAAAACTCCCTGTATTAATTAAGTGATAGCGAACCTTGTGCAAAAATTCAGTATGTAATTTTGAACTGTTTATTTCAACTTGAGTTGAGGGGGGGGGCTGTGATTGCTCTACTTTTCATTTTGGGTAGTTAATTTCTTTTTTTTGACATACTGTAGTTCACTCGATTGAAGATGTCTGCTTTGTTTTAGTTTCCCGCGCGCAAATTAATATCTGACATCTTACGATGGTGGGTGTGCATGTGTGTGGAGGGGGGGGGGGGCTCCGCACTGAAACTCAATCACGCTATCGTTTGCATAGGAAAACACAAGCAACTTGATTATACCACAGTCTGGTGCCACTATCACCAAACGCACAGTAAACTACTGTTGGACGAAAATATTCACTCACTGAATTATTTATATGCTTCCTGTAAGCTGATCTGTACTAGGTTTGTCTAACTATGAGAAAAAGACAGGCCCCTTTGAAACTGTTGTTCCCACTCATTACGCGTTAAACAAACCGTGAGAGCAGGCTATCATTTGATACGCCGAGCTCTCCTCTCGCTAGAAAAGAATGAACCTCCAGTCTATACGGAAGGTCAGCACGCACTGCACTGGTGTTGAATACCAGATGAGACGGCTGGTTACAAGGCAAAGACAGCAACGCGCGGCGACTACACAAAAGCCCGAGAGTCACTCATCAGCGCATACTCCTGAACCACTCTCTCTGCCATGCTGTGCGTGTGTGTCATTTGCAGCAACCACTCAGTGGGAGCAACAAGAGCGTTCTTTTCGCAGCAGACGGGGAGAAAGCAGCCTGGGGGAGGGGTAGGTTGCGACAACTGATTACAGCTCATCGCAGTCTCCGTACTAGTGGATGCAATCACCGGGAATTGCCACATTGCACAATGGGAGGAGTGTCAGGGATGTCACCCACCGGATTGCTCGTCAACGCTCGCTGAAAAAAATTGTACACTCCAGTGTGCGGTGGGGGAAAAAAAATCCTGGCTTTTGCTATTGTTGCAAAGGTGTTCTGTTGTGAGGAATTACTGCCAATTTGTCACACCTAAAAATCAACTCTTCTTTTCGTGAAACATTAACTGGGAACAATACGCCATCGATCGATCGGGAAAGAGCAACGGAGGTCGGGAATATAAAACCGAGGTCTTAGCTTGAAGTGATTCAAAGTTTTCTCAAGAAGGGGGAAAAACGCTTGTGTTCAAACAGTCACATATTGACGATAGGATACCGTTGGAGGTTCGTCTAGTCTGATCACATTCGACTGACACCAAATCAACTTTTGACATAGCTTTTTGTAGTTTTGATTTGCGTCGACTTTTTGAACTCAAGACCATATAACGGTTGTTTACGTGTGCCGTGGAATTTGGTTTACCTGTGCCGTTCGCATGCAGTTGCCCAGGAGGGGTCATGGTTACGCTGGAAAGGGGAAGGTTTCTGGTTTCTCAGCTCATTTTGGTGAGTCGATTTCGCCGAGTTTCTTGTAATGCAACCTTGGTTGTCATGGTTGTGTGGTAAATTTACGACCTTTAGGCCCTATTAAATAAAAATGTTCAACCTGGGGTAGAATATTTTTTGTAGCGCGAATGTGATGAAATCTTTGAGTTGGCTATTCACCCGATTAATGGTTTTTAAATTTATTGTTAAAGGGAAGATACAACATTTGCAAACATCAAAAAACGAAATGATCAAATTATTACGAAATACCTTACTGGATTGTTAAAGATTGACAGTCTAAAGCATCCTGTAAAATTGTGGCTCCTGGTGTGCAGACATTTTCAAAAAAAAATAGTTCTGCTTCCGGTTTCCCTACCTACCCTATTCTGACAGCCTCTACCCTAATTTTTTTTATTGGAAAAATGAGAAAAAAACACCCCAAACCATCAATTTCTACCTTTTACCCTTGACAACACACAGACGCCTCCATAATGATCATACACAAAAAAAAAATGGAAAAAAAAATTCCCTACCTACCTACCCTATTTTCAAATGCCATGTAATCGGAAGAACTATTTTTTTTTGGCCTTACACACCTGTGAAGGGGTACAAGCCTGCAAGACTGATTTTTTGACCTTATTGTTTTAAAATAATTATCGTTTCATATGTTGTCATGTGGTCTTTACCTCTTTCTGTTTAATGGTTGATTAAATATTTGTGGCCTGTTGTCATTGGTGTGCAATAATAGTCATTACTGAAAGAGTATCAGAACCAGTTATTTGTTTGTGCTGAAACCAATTTAATGAATTTAGGATATCGTCGTCAGACATCATTGGAAAAAAAACAATTACCATTAGCACTTGCCAATGAGATAATATTGCACCGGTGCAGTTGAACATGTTCATGTACATGCTACAATTTGTATAAAGGTCTGTTGCCGGCGCCCCTAGTGTGAATTAAACGGTTTTCGGTTTGACAATGGAGAATAAGTTGTGCGTCCCCAGTTAACCCGCGACATTCAAGGCCTTTACGCACGATGTCTGCGGCTATTGAATTAAAAGTCGGCCCTGAAATGTCTCGGTCAAGGATGACGTTTTTCCCCCATCTCCTCTCCTCCATTGAGTCCTGCACCTGTGTCTGAAATTTCTGAATTATCTCCCGCCACCTGCGCCTCTGACTTTTCAATTATCTTCTCTGCATCTATTCCCTGAACAGGTGTCATTCAGCCCCGTGTGGGCGTGGCATGAATTAGACAACTCGCAGTTTCATTGTTGGCCCCTCATTAATCCCGATGCGAAGAACTATCTCCATGACTGCCATGGTAAGAGTAATATACATCTACATTGGTATTAACAAACAATTATGTAAAAAAAAAAGGGAGTTTAGTCTAGACCTAATTGTCAGTGTTTCAAACGGTCTGGGAAGAAAAATGGCTAATGTGTTGTTTTTTCCCAAAAATTTGATAGAATTAGGAATAATTTGATATTTGCGAACGCAAGCATTTAATTGTGCTTGAAGTTATATACTTGTGATCGTTTATGGTATTATTTATTTTTCTCATCGTAATTTAAAGATGTGTTCCCTTGCTCTTTTCGAGTTTCAGCCTGAAAAACAAATAGATTTCTTTTCTCAATTGTTTTTTTTCTTCTAGCAATAGAAAAGTTATCCAGTATTGAAAGAGACATCGGCCGAAAAATCCGCCAACGTTTAATTATTGCATACTTTACAAATTTCGAATTACTAGCGATCCGATAATAATTCAGTTCTCGCGGGGTAGGCTGGTTCCGGCCCCAGAATCAGTTTCGATAGTGTGTGGACCGGGAGCCAGTCTTCTAGAAAGGCGGGTCTGTTTTTGCCTGAAATATAGGAACCTTTATTTAGAGGGATGCAGACGATAACGAACTCTAGTCTATGTAATCATGGAGCTGGCCCTGGCGAAGCCGACCATGGTCTATGATACGTAAACAGATTCGGCGATTAATTATGCACCTGGACTCCGTATGACTATGACCTTGAGAAACTGACCAAATAGCAGGCGCCTTCTATACGCGCGTAATTCAAGCTCCCCTCGTGCGTAAACATCACGCCTACGATGAGTAGCATTTTTGTACAGGTTGTTGTATTACAAAAACGCGGCATCGAAATGGGCCAATCACAATCTTAGTCCTGATTTCGGAATGAAATTACGTCACGCATGCTTAGATTATATCAGACGTTAAACAAGAGACGTGGCTCCGTGGATAACGGGTGAAACTCAGATTATAACGAAACCAAACCCCCCCCCCTAAAAAAAAGGTGGTTGGTAGAAAACATACAAGTTGAAAATTAACCATGAGGGGGAAAATCGAATTTGTTGCAGAGCACGGGTGATGCAGCTTTAATTTCTTACAAGTATCTATTTTTGCAATCCAAGGATTTCTTTTATATTTCTGTCATTAAATTAATAGCCAAACGTCTGGTGTAGATTCGTTCTATCCGCGGATAAAAGTCGTTAAGTTGTTATCGTCATAATATCTGTTCAATCAACCGTTAAAAATAGCTAAAAAAAGACTTCACCCGTCGCCCCAAAGTGAATTTTAATCTCGATATAATTACTTGTGAGGAAATTCTGCAAATAATTATATGAATGAATTCCAACCTTAATTGGCTCTGAGCACCTTTTAGGTTGTGGATACTGTGTCCATACTATACAGAGGAATATTTGCATTGCCTCGATATTCAAGTTGAATTTCAAAGAACCATTCTCTACCAACATTGAACGTTTTAGGCTGCGCAAGAAACATTCGCTTCACAAAGGCTACTTATCGGACTTTTGATTTGTGTGCCGCTTCGTCATTTGAAATATTAATAAAAATTATTATGCACTACCTTGCGGTCATGTTTCGGCAATATTGCGAGACGTTCGTCATCGAATAATTTTGTTTCCAAGTTTATCGAAACTCAAAAGTACATTTGTGTGTTTTTTTATCAGAGCTATATGGATGGAACTCAAAGCCTTGAAAGGTACAAATAAAAGAAACACATGAAGTAGACACTCGATACACATACACTCATACTATAGGTGCGCTAAACATGATAAGATTCATATTTATTGGCAGAAGGCCTTTCAACATCCGCTGTGATGCTAAAAAACAAGGTAAAGAAATACTTAGACTAATCAATAGCACACTCCCAAAACACATACATATCTCAAGTGTTCAGCTGCGGCACTTTTGAAGCGTGAGACGTGTTATGGTACGGCTTCCTCCACCCGCTATAACACCGTGCGACATTCATCCACTCTCTTAAATTGGCACTAGACAAATATCATAGTTTAATGGAGAAGTTCTGAGAGTGCAGGGACTTGGTTTGGGTAAACTCGTTGAACTCCGCCAAGAGGTTGGAGCACATCTCAAACTTCATCAGCGAACGTTGACATTGTTGTGTGTGTTTCTGGCAAGTTTCTCTTTTATTGAAATGATGTGACGCAGTTTCGCAGTGAGACGCCTTTGCTTATAATTGCGACTCAAGTCTCTCCACCGGCAGGGCTGTTTATATACGGAGCGCTGCCCGCGCCGCCTTTTAGTCCCCCCGAATAACAATAAATTTTCCCTCGGGGATGTTTTGTCAGTGAACGAGACAATATAATGTTCTCTTCAGCCCTGCTTTGGCCTCAGCACATGACGGAATGTATTGATTTTAACCTAGGGTGATGTACACAGCCTTGATTTTATGAGATCTTCAAGGTTTTTTTTTTCATGACTGCGCCGATCTGGCTGTTAAAGTTTGTTTACTTTCTCAGTTAACCCCACTTTATTAAAACCCAGAAACCCAAATACCTCTACGTGTCATACACTTGTTTGGTTTTCATTATAATCGTATCCACGTATATATAGCCTTAGAATCAATCATCTTAAATGTAAGGTATCCGTCGGTCCGGTCAGTCAGATGCCCCCCCCCCCAAAAAAAAAGACCTGAAGTAGTAATATTAAAGCCCGCTGTGATTTATTTGTTTCTCCTAGTTCTGTTATTTAACTCCTCCAAACAATTTGAAGAGTGAAATTTGATGATGGGTTATTTGGAGACGGCGTCTAAATTTCGTTTCACAATTCATCATTGTTAACATTAGTAAAAATGCACATTTCTTCCAAGAAAGAATGCAGTATTTTAATACCCCGAGTGGTTTAATACACAAGGTCATTGTTTTGTTGTGTAAACATACCCAGCACGATATGGGATGGGACGGAGGGGTACACCCCCCCCCCCATCTCCCTATACCCTGCGCGAACCCTAGACTATTGTTACCTAACACAACCCCCTAGATATCGCAAAAGAATTCCTGAGATTCTGGTAACACAATGACCAACACAAAAGAGGGGGGGGGGGTCCCTCCGTCCCATATTGCGCTACATATGGGAGTAAACATTCCGGACAAGCATTTCAATGAGCACATGAAATGCTTTGCAATTTTGAAAAAGCAGCCGGATTGCCGGGAACTAGGCGCTGTAATTTACCTCATTGTGATACTTGGCTGGTTACCTGTTTCTTATAAGCAAACTTTCTTTTGGTTTTCCTCACGATTATACAGCTGAACTCGGATCATCCTCGAGACTTTGTTTTAGTGCCTGTAGATTCCTCATCAGTTTGGGATTGAGGGTTTTCCCCACATGTTTTTAAAGCCGTTTGTGTTTCAAAGCGTGTAGCTCATGTACATCTTTTTGGTCGGTTTGGAATAGACGCATATACGGGAATGCGTCAAGATCAATTTCATTGGAAACTTGAAAGCACTCAGGGAGCGCAAACCCCCGCCAAGGCTAAACAATTCCCCGCCATATTGTCAGTACACCAAAAAGAAATACTCGCATAAATAGTGAAGAATCCTTTAAAAAATCCTGGATCCAGACCCAGATCCGGATCACTTCCAAAAGCTAATCGATTTGTACTTGTACCATACAAGGACCACCCCTACAAAGATTTTCATGAAAATCCGTCAATAACTTTTTGAGTTATCTTGTTAACAGACAAACCAACCAACCAACAAACTGACCAAATCCGATGAAAACATAACCTCCTTGACGGAGGTATTTACATTGTTAAAAAAAAATCGTTCAAAAGCAGTTGTGATAGTGTTTTCATTTTCAAAGTGAGACACCCTGATCTCGACAAAAAAATTTAACCAACATAAGTTTAGTTACTGAGAAATGTTTAGAAATATGATTCTTAATATTCGATCAGGATGAAGCAAAACGTCACAATCTTAGTTTTGCAGTGACCTCTATATGCCTCAGATGCAGAAAACATCAGCTTTTAAAATTACAGCGTGTAAGATGAAAGAATCGCATTATCTTCTTTCAGCCCTTTGTACCTTTTCTTGGCAATTCTTAATACCCATTTCTACTCCAAAATGTATTTAGACAGTATAGCCAAATTGTAATTGATTCACAGCTTTAATGAAACAATGTATTTAAAATGTTTCGTTAACGGTCGTCTCTCATTACATTTTATGTTGGAGAGACATGATTTCATTTGGCCATTCTCTCGGGTGCTTTCTGTGTGAGCGTTCACCGCTTTGAAACTGTATATCCCAGAAAACAATTATGACTTGCGGGGCAGGAATACCGTCTCCATAGCAACACGGTTCTCCTTTGAAGCGGTCTTGTTTTGATCCTTCTAGTTTCACACCTCCAGAGAAACTACGCAATTCGCAGACAGAGCCGGGAACCTATTTGTGTGTGTCGTTGACCGACAGATTACCCGTGCTGTAAATTGGAAATTGGCAACATGCCTGCGTGTATACGCGGGGGTGAATTAACCATAATCGATGGAAATGTCCACACATTACTGTGAATTGCCGAGATCTATATTTGTAAAAAGGAGGAGACGTCAAATGAATCCTTGCTCAGATTTCATCTTTTCTTTTCTGTTTGCCTACTGGCAGGATAAAACAAACCAATCTCCTCTCTTCTCCGCTGTAAAAACTAAACAGAGGGAAGACCAAACATCTTGTTTGTTCAAGTCGATTTATCTTCATCTCTCGCCTCTTCGTTTGCCAGAATGTGTTGTTGAGACTGAGAGAGCTGTGGTATGAGAGTGAAATCGTTTTGATCATAACCAATTTATTTCTATAAATGAAGGATTTGATTAAACCGATCGAAATTAAGTGCCATGCGTCTGAAGTATATACTTGTGAATAAAGGAGCGCATTACGAGGGTCCTTATATTAAAATGCTGTCTACGCTACACTCGGAAGAGGATGGGATATTATATTTATTTTGTTATTCAGGGACTAATAACCTCTTATTTTTCACTGCCTTTCAACAATACATTTCATTTCACGTAGTT